ACTGCGATCTGCTATTTACATCTGTGGGCAAACGGTCTACCCATCCCTTCTGCCTTAGGCCGCAAGGCCACAACACACAGACTGGGCAAAGCCCAAGACTGTCACACAACCTACTAGTACGGAGGATCTCGGTTTTTATATCGATTTACATCCTGAGTTCTGATATATAGATGATGGTAGTAAAATTGTACTTTTGGCCTGGGTTGTGGTTTTGGTCTGGGAGCACCCACAACCTCCGGTTGTGGGGCGGTCATGGGGCACGGATATGCCTCTGTAGCATCACAGAAACTAGGGTCCGAAATAAAGAGTAGAAACTGGACATCGGTGCGATGTTCGATGGAATAACTAGAGTATAGCATAGCACAGTGTGGCTAGATTATCGCCCAAGTTCAAGTGAACTATAATAGATTCATATACAGGTCGCGTGAAGACACGATTTTGTGCTTGTATTTCTTATCATGACCGTCAAATGAGCCCCCGAATTCAACCCTGCCATCTTCGTCCTATCTTTTCATTCGTTGTCGTTTCATTCGAAGGTGTTGTCTGATTCAATGATAACGCCTCATCAAGCGCCTCCGTTTCATTCAGGAATCTCGATACCGTCGACATCGCTGGCTTACCACACCCTTGCCCAGCTACATTGAAGTGGTAGTCTCGGGAAACCATACATCCATTCCCGAAATGTTTTGTCCCGCAGGACTTGCAAGTCGAAAATCTCATGATGTCTTGATATGCTTGCCACATATCTTTACCAGAGATGGTACACGACTTGCCAGTTTCGTCCTTGCCTTGAACATATACTTTGCATCCCTGACCTATGAGGCTATCGAGGGAGCACATCCCACTCTTTGGAAGTGCTTGATTGGCTTCGTATATCGTGTCCGGTTCATTCAGAAGGAAACTGGCAGCCAAGTCGCAGTTCTTGACTGTATTCAGAGCGTGCCCGCAAAGGGGTGCACCCTGACAATCGTAAGCTCTTTGGCCGATGCAGTACGCGTTGTCGGTGCCCTTCTTCTCCGACATATCGCTTGGGCATGGAAGAAAAACGTTAGTAAACCGATTGTAGCCTTCCGTTTGAATGACGGCATAGGTTGGATCCACTCCCTCATTCGATGTTCCCATCGGGATAACCCACTTGAAGTGAGTTTTGTCTCGAGTAATTTTGACATTGTTGCGCTCTCCAACTTCCTTCCATTTGAATTCGCGATTGTCGTTGGCATCAGCTGTAGCGGGTCCATCATATTTGAATAATGTTGAGCCTTCAACCATATAATGAGCAGTAACAAAATTGGGGCCATAGGATATTGGCCATGCACCCCAATTGTGGTATCTGCTATCATCCGTGAAGTAAATGCGGATAAAACCATAAGGAAGGAGGACATTTGCTTCAATTGTCGTCTCTGTAGGCGAGGTTTTGATCTTGACGTCCCGCACAACACGACCATCAAGTCCCTTGGTTGCTCCACCGTGGGGGTTAGAAGCATCTCCCATCTTGCCATCAGCGCCAATAGCCTTGACAGTCACCACCATAGCCTTTGTCTCTATTAGGATATTCCCGATAGTGACCTTGCGCATGAAACCTGGTAAGCGGACTAGTTCTTCCTCGCCGGTATATACGGCGAATCCATAGGGGTTCCCCCCGGGGTGGCTCCATTCGACATGAAGAGAGGTGTAGTCCAGGCCAGTGACTTTTGTAACCGGCTTCCCTGGTGAGCTTCCACCGTTATAAGACGAAAGATGGTCCTGAATAAGAGGGCTGCCACCTGGAACGAAGTTGATGATTTTGTCCATGTATGTTTCGCTTGGAAGAGAGTTGTAAGGATTTGGCATGACTGCGGGAGTGATGTGAATAAGACCTGCTTTATTTTCGGCGGCCAACTTAGCTACCTCGACCGCTCTGTCCTCCGGAACTTGATAGATGATATGCCATATCTTTCGAGGGTCGCTTGGTTTCCAATTAATCTCGGTATAGTTCTTCATGATGTAGTTTTCGTAACTACTCTCGAAAGTCATGAGCGTATCCGAGCTACGAGTCGTTAGCTGCGTGCGTACAAGACATAAATTGGAGCGAGAAAGCCATGTACGAACCTATTTTCGTAGCACTTTTCCACTCCGGTTCCAGGATTGAGCACGGTGTAAGCTCCAGGATATTTACGTTTGGTATTATCGCTGATGAATTGATAAACTTCGGCCCACCTATTAGGATTGCTTGTATCACCGCATTGATTCCATCCTTCATCAAAGAAGATGCCTCCTATTTTATCTGCCCCATATAACCTAAATTAAGTTAATACTGGACGCTGAATTCTTGAGCTTTGTGTACTTACTTGTACCATAAATCTACGTCACGTTCGATTTGAGCGACCCAGTCTTCCACTGTTCGTGAGCCCAGCCGAGTTTCAAATGGTTCAAACTTTGGGTCATCGGAGGTAGCCAATCCAAGGTACCCTGTTCTCACATAGCCAATAACTTTCTTCTTCTTAGCCACTGCCTCTGTGAGAACGGCCATCCACTTTTTATTAACAGCCACGTCCGGGCCGTTCAGGACATTTGCAACCAGGACGCTGACTTTGTCATTGGGATAGGCGATCATTCTCCTCCATAGATCGTACCCTCCTCCTGGGTGGATGTAAGAAGCAAGAGCTACTTGTTCTGTGGTCAAGAATGTTAGTTAAATTACTTGAACCACGTTATGCGGCGGTTAAATGAAGGATCAAGTACTTACGGCCAGCGTCGCCGCCCGAGCCTCCTGGTGTCGATGGGTTAGGGCCTGTCTCATTGCCCGGTTGGGGGAGGGGACCTTCTATTACGCCAGGCACTGCGTCGATCTGGGCAACGAGGGCCTCGAATTCTGCGCCGATGGCAGCGGCGCTGATGTCCCTCGCGACGCCGCCGACGTCGGGGCAGCCGGGGCGGAAGATATCGTTGCCGGAGTCGTATGGCGGGTCAGACACGGTGTCGTCCGGCTGCGCGGGCTCGGTCTCGAGGAGGGGCGGTCCGCCGTCCACGTCGCGTGGCTCCTGCAGCGGCGCCATCCTCCTGACATTGGGCCTGTCCGGGTAGACGAGAATCTGCTTCTGGACGTACTTGGCCATGGCGAACCAGGCAAAGTTGTCGGCGTTGCGCTGTGGATAGTAACCCGACCACTGGGCAGTGTTATAGGGCGGTGGCTCGACATAGTTGGCCAGCACCTTGGCGAACAGCGGCCCGTACATGGACTCCCACGAGCGCCTGCCGTTCCAGATGACATTGCTCTGTAGGTCGCGCACGTAGGGACTCGACGCGTTGGCGTTCATGAAATAGTTGAGATGGGTGATCTCGTGGAAGAAGACACGGGCGTGGTTGTCCCAGTTCATGAGGTCCTTTTTCTCCGGCAGGGTCTTGCCGCTGTTCACGGCGGTAATCTCGCCCAGGGTCTTAAGGTTGAAGAACTCGGCGCAGAAAGTGATACGGTCGTACCATAGGGTGGGGTCCCTGCCGTAGCCCCGCGTGTTCTCGCTGAAGGCCTGTGACTTCATCTGGTGTGCCTGTCCGACTGGCGGCTGGCCAGTCCTGGAGCATTGTCCGTTGTTGGTCGCATCACCGCAGGCGTTCGTGGGATCCGTGCTATCAGGGCCCGCCTTGCCGTCGCTGCAGCGTACCTCGATCCACAGGAAGCGGAACGACGAGGCTGGATTTCCGATGAGTCGGCTCCACGGGTACTCCCAAATTTGGGCGGCTTGGTGATAGATCTGCTTGATTTCAGCCCTCGTATCGTCCGTAAGCGGCCACTGGTTGATCGGAGTGTTCTTGCCGCCCCAGAAATCCGTCGCGGCCTGAAGCTTCCACTGAATATCATTGAGCTCGCCCAGTGCAGCAATCTGCTGGAAGTCGCGAAAGGCTTGCTGGATGACATGAACGCGGTCGCCGATGCCGTTGCAACCCTTGAATCCGTACAGCCGCGTGCCTCGGAGGTTTTCTATCGCGATCGGGCTGCCGTCGTCGTTATTTAGTGGCGGATACGGCTGGATTGGATCGTTTGTAAAGTCGGGCGCGACGTCCCAGACGGTAAGAGCGGCCGCAACGTGCAGCAACACCAGCCCGCTCTGTAGCAGCTGAGCGAGGAAACGAGCCATCGCGTTTGTAAGCTGACTGTGACGTTCTCCTTGGGTATGTCTAGAGCGCTTTGAAGGCACGCAGCCCGCGTATATAAGCACCTTAGACTCTGGCGTGTAAACATTTTACTACCTGGCCGAAGCCCTGCTATCGTTGCGTCGAACGGGGCCATGTTGAATAAAATTTGATATTCCACTTCTAGAGTGCAGGAACAATGTTGCGAAGAGTTGGATGCCTTTCCTAGACACTTACCCTTGCGGGCAGATAGAAAACTGCCCATGCCCCGCTGTTTCTCTTTCAAGGGTCCGTTAACTCGGAAAAACCCTTACGCGCTTTGCTCCCTATCGAATCCTTTGATCCTTCGCCCGTTTTATTTTAGGTCCGCGGATTTCCAGACTGCGAGCAAGTAAGCAAGCACAGGCCGATACCAGACCAAACTGTCCGTACGGATCAAATACGGCATCGTCGCATCCCACCATAAGCAACACGCCTCCACCGCTTGCTTCAAGCTCCAACGATGAAGACACCTGCAGACAGATGTGAGTACATACAGGGCCCCTCTGCCAACAATACGTCTAGGCTCGAGCTGACTGCAACTTGGGAAAAAGGGGCAGAGCCCAGGCCGAAGCCCAAACCGTCGCCGCCGGAACGCTCGCGTGTCGTGCTTCTGGACGACAGCGTTTCCGTCTGGGGGTGGCCGTCACGTGGCGGCCTGATCGTGCTCGAGCAGGCCACCGCCCTCGACTTCGAGATGCTGCAGCTCGACAGCGTCAATCTGGCCCTGGCCCGCGACGACGACCGCGCCCGCGAGGACGAGCACTGCCAGCGCCTGCTCTGGCTCGGTGCCAGGTGGTTCGACAGTCGCGAGAGGTACGGCTTCGTGTGGAACCTCTCGAGGCAACTGTCCCCTGCCATCTCGGCCGTCGAGCGAGGCGAGCAGCCTGCGCCGACGAGGCCGGAGCGCTGGTGGGTCCGCGTCGCATTCTCTAACGGCCAGGATCCGCATGGCGGTTTCTGGGTGGGCGAATGGGACTCCCGTATATACGGTTCGCGAGGCGACAGGCAGGCGCCAGTACATCTCGACGCCGCTCAAATTGCCCTCGCGCGTAACATGGGCGAGAAGTGCAGGATCCTCGAGGCTCTGGGGGCCACGTACTTTGACAGTCTGGACAGCTACCGGGGAGAGGCGTGCGTGAATGCCTGGCACCATAAGCACACTGGGGAGTTCGGGCCCTTAGTCATCCACGACCACCAAGGCGTCAACGGTGACGACTAGTTAGAGGCCCAACTCTCCTTTCCCACTGTAATAGTATAGTCGTATATAGGGCCAACTGCCGAGATGGCGGGTTCTTGTTCAGGAACCCGACCTTCCGTACAGATACACGCTCGAGCTCCTGACCTGGTTAAGAATTGCACGAACATCGACGGATTAAAGAAATTCGAAGGATTAAAGGATCCCAATCCCTTTTCTGGGGCCGTGTCACGGATTGATACTGGATGATGTAAAATCAAGGTAGTATGTCATGGGCCCAAACCACGAAGGATTTAGTAAGCTGGTAACGCTATTGAATTGCTAAAGAGAGAAGGAAAAGATCTCTCTTACTGCGATCTGCTATTTACATCTGTAGGCAAACGGTCTACCCATCCCTTCTGCCTTAGACCGCAAGGCCACAACACACAGACTGGGCAAAGCCCAAGACTGTCACACATGACACCGATTCGCGATATCTTCTTATCGTTATTACGCGTGAGCCATTATAGTCGATACGAACTCGTGGTGCTATTTTAGTTTCCGGGCTATCTCTACTCCTTTCTATTCCTTACTAGTTAATAGCGCGTTATCGTTAGGGTTCGGGTCTGGTAGCTAGAGATAGTCTCCTAAGTTCGGGTGATACCCATAGCTTAAGAAAAACGGGCTTATTGCTGTCGATGAGGCCGTTCGTGCGAGCACGGAGGCTTAAAGAGTTAGGAGGTGCTCGTCCTAATTATCTTAGAAGAAATCGTAGAAGTGTCGGAGGTACTCTTCTAAGACCTAATTTATCCTTTCTATACTTCTATCGGTTTCTGGGTAAAAAGTAGTTAATAATCGTTACTTAATGACACGGTCTGGATGCGCAAGGTCTGCGATTACCAAGTTCCATTAATCTAAACTGAAGAGAGAGAGAGAGAGAAGAAATCTCCCGGCACCTTTGTGCGCGAGATAGCGACTCTCCTCTCCAATGCCCTACTGCTGTGTTACCATGTTTGTTTGCTTCTCTGATATAATCCACCAGCCACGTCTTCAGCCACAACCAAGGGAACAGGCCACAGGCCTGGGACCATAACACTTAATTCCTAATATCTTATAGATTTATTTCTAGACTCCTTTAACGAAGTTATCTCCTCTGTCTGATATAATGGCTATTGGTAGCAAGTGGTATAGAATGTAGTGCTTAATCATCATAGCTGCTACTGTCTCTCCTTCCATATCTTTACAGGGGATAAAGATCGCGCCTTTGCCTAACCTGTCAACAATCCTCCGTGGGGGAAGAAATTGATGGCCCATACAAAGCGTCTTGGCACTACATCACCAGTTTTCCAGATCTTTACAACTAACAGATTACAAACTCCAACCTACTACAACGCCACCGTCTTCTCTTCATGGAACGTGTAGAAGTATTGATACGTGATTGATTAATCTATCTAGGAGTATGGGAGGCCTCGGAGGAATAGGAGGTGACCACATGGTACTAGCCGTATTGGGATGTCACCTGACTCCCAACCTCTAGAGGATGGTTGATATCTAACACTCCTCCTTAAACATCATCTTCAGGGTAAGGCCGTCGTTAAGGTGGCTCACGCGGTGCTTCAGGGGCAGTTTGCCGTTCCGGGATGTCCGTGGGTGGTGTTGAAGGTGCTGGGTAAAGGGCTAGGTGGTTCTTGATCGGATTGAGGGCTTGAAATAGTGAGCCAGTAACGAGAGGTTATTCACCGTGTAAGCTGTGTCTCAGTAGTCCTTCCAGTTAAGGGCCTAGGTGGTTCTTGATCGGATTGAGGGCTTGAACAGTGAGCCAGTAATGAGGGGTTATTCACCGTGTAAGCTGTGTCTCAGTAGTCCTTCCAGTTAAGGGTCTAGGTGGTTCTTTGGTGATAAAGTCCTAAGATAGTTTCTTGGTCGGATTAAGGGCTTGAAAGCGGTAAGACAGTGACGTTGAGTTTATTTAACGTGTGACGTGTGTATCAGTGGTCCTTTCCAGTTAAGGTGTGGTTCATGTTGTTGTCCTTCTTGTATATCGGTGGAGGGGTAGAAGGAGTCCCGCTCGATCAGCATATCTCTGGAGGGGAGCAGTGATCCCGCTCGATCAGTGTATCGCCGGAGGGGAGGAGTGATCCCGCTCGATCAGCGTATCGCCGGAGGGGAGGATGGTCTCTGTGGTACCGGAGGAGAGGATGGTCTCTGTGGTGCCGGAGGAGAGGATGGTCTCCGTGATGGGGTTGGTCGCCGTGGGAGAGGATGGTTCCCTCGGTGGCGAGGGATGACGGTAGAGAGGAGGTAGCTCCCCCGTAGCCATAGTATCGTGATGCTTATGGGTAGTATCAACGGGATTGATGGCTCCCCCGCAACCATGGTATCACGATGCTTATGGGTGGTATATCGATCCATGCAGGCGGAGATTGATGGCTCCCCCGTAACCATGGCATCGTGATGCTTGTGGTTGAAGTGTTCGCGTAGGTACGAGGTCTATGGCTCTCCGTGTCGTCGACGAGGTTAAAGAAGACCACGGTATGGATAGCTTCGGCAGAGGTGATAGGCTGTAAGGTCACGAGATGGTTGTGGGCATAGAGTGAGATGGTCACGAGTAATAGACGAGTAGTGGACGAGTCAAGCGGTATAGATTGATAATATCTGTGCCTCAATACTTAGACTGATCCTTAAAGAAGGAGAAGGAGAAGGGTTCAATGAAGGGTCCTCAAATAGTGGCTCCATTGTGTTACACGTGACTTAGCAGTAGAGGTTAGGAGTCAGGTGACATCCCAATACGGCTAGTATCATTTGTGGTTACCTCCTATTCCTCCGAGGCCTCCCATACTCCTAGATAGATCAATCAATCACGTATCAATAATTCTACAAGAACTATTTAATAACTAACAGCGAACCTTAAGGACGGAAGAGAGTGAGTTCCTTCTGCCTATTGATTCGTATATGCTTGCTGAACTGATGTAGAACTCTTGGACAGCCGATCTCTGAATATGTTTTCTAAAGGATCTTCTTCTTCGACTGTAGCAGAAGATGGCGCATCTGCTCCATCTTCATTGTTACCGCCTCCAACATCGAAGCAAGGACTCGCGATCGGGGGGCGCGGTAGTTTGTGTAGCAGAATGGTCGATAGCTAGGATCTATAGCTCCGAATTCCAAATTTTTGAGATAGAATTGGTCTATATTGCGCGTAGAATCATTCCATGAAGCTAATGATGTTGACCTAAATGCTCACCAATTTGCATGCCACGAACGTCAACGTCACCAAAAAATTTCAAATTTGTCTCAGGCCCTTCGTGTGGGTAACCCATTTTGGGTTAGCGCCTTGGCGTCCCACTAAGGGCCTGAGAGTCTGAGGTAACATAAACATTCCCCACCTAGCCTCCATAGGAATCCACATCTTCTCTACTATCAGTCTTTGTAACACATACGAAACCATAACAGAATCCCTCTAGTATTTCAAGCCTGCGGCTACAATGCATCCAGGGCAAGAATAATAATGGCATTGGAAACTAAGATCAAAACGCATAGATTTCATGGGAAAGGCTTCTGGAGACACGGAGTTGATGAACTCCGATTGGAGCCGATGTTCCTGATTTAACTTTCCTGTGCGGGCCGAACCCATCCCGTTCCGACAGCAAATCGTGGGGCTTCACATGTCTTCGCATGGCAAAATCATAAATCTGGGGAACATAAATGTGTAGCCGGTCGTCATAAAGCGTACTCACAAATTTGATCAATGGATTTCGAAGCAAGACCTTCTGCTGCGCTCCGTGTGATCCCCTCACAACCACCATAAAACCTACTATTTGGACCCAGCCTATCATCATCAAATATATTGAACCAACATGAGGATCCATGCCGCTGTGATCTTCGCCATTGCTGGTACTCCTCTCGCGCAATCACCCACTATTACCTCATCCGGAGTGCCTCTTCCCAACGCAAGCGAATTCGCCTCCCAACTCGACGCCCTCAATGCCTATGTTAGCACCATGGACCCCGCGGAACAGTCCAGTGTCTTAGCGGTCATGGAGTCTGGGTACGACATCGGGACTGCTGTGGCCAACAGCTTTCTTTCATCCATACAAGCCAACTCGCCTAGTGCCACGATTCAAGGAACAACAAGCGGAGGAGCTGCGCCAACCTTAGGAGTACATACAATGGCAGGGCTTGCCGGTGTTGGAATGGCGGCTCTTGGGATGTTGTAATAGGCAGAGGAGAGGACTAGAAGAGACTTGCGGGCTCAATTTCAGGCTTGGGATAATAGGACTAGCAGGTTCATGCGGAGCATGATGAATGTACAGTTAGCATTGTCTTGATAATACGAAAAGCGGCTGGCTCACTTGACATGGACTTATTTCAGTTGGGACTCAGGCATCAAGATCCTTTGATGTTTGGATGACCACTTTCAAGATGGTCAATCTCTTTTACCAACCTTTCCTTTATACGAACATTCTTCTATAAAGACAAAGGTAAGGAATTTGCTGCAAACGGATAGGCAGGAAGGCTATATAATGAGCGGTCCTATACTGTTATTTAGTAAATCACAACTCAACTATTCTATAGATATTGGACTGTCATTCTAAGAACAACAGCTACAGCTGGTATTGTTCTTCGGCTTATCTTTCTTCCTTTGAACTATATGGAGTTCCTTACCCACTGTGCCTGAGGTTGAGCCTCTGCAGACATTCCAATCTCAACAGGAGGGTAATCGCGTCGTGAAGGCATTCCGTTAAGACGAGTACGTAGAATACTTTCAGGAACGTTATAGGTCGTTGCAGCAGTTAGGACACGTTTTATTTAGCCTTATTTAATAGCTAGTTTCGCTAATTTAACCCTGGCTTTGTTTAAAGGTAATTAAGGTTGTTATTATTAAGACATTGCGAAAATAGGGGGGTGATCGCTATGGTGAGTGAAAATTCGCAGCTCGGTGGTTTCCGCAGCTCGGTGGTGGATTACGTTAGATAGGACAAAGATAGTGTCGCACGTGATGTGCTAAAATGGTTGGGAGTGAGGTGCTGTTGTTCCAGCAGCGAAGTTGTTGTATTGTTGTGTGTTCTAGGTATCTGAAAGTTGCGTTCAAGTTGCGTGTTCTTATGTCAATGCCTGGTCCCCTGGCCCTCCAGATATATGAGATTCGTGGCAAGTTTATTAATGCAGTTTGTAGCCTCGAGCTGTCGCAATATGCCCCTGTTGGTTTCTACTGCCACCTAACATTCCTTTCACTGCCCCCTACCCCTGGGCTAGGCCTAATCAGGACTCTTCAGTGTTCTCCTATGTATTTAAGTTATCTTCATCTGGCTACTAGCTAGATCTCTTTTCCTAGACAATGGGAATCGTTAATACCAATTTGCGTTATGACTCTACAGTAACTGAGCCTAAGCAGCAATCGTGCTTAATCATCATCCCCGCATAAATGCGACACGAGCTCCCTTAGATGAAACCTTGGTCTGCGACAAGTACCATCCTCTGTCGAGGATTGTTAGATGCCCTACCAGGCAACCTGATTAGGTAATGCCCTACCAGGCAAGGCTGTCTGCCTTCTCAGTTTTCCAAAAGGCTGTCTGCCATCCTAGCTACGCAACGTTTGGGGGGTTGCACCCCCTCTCGCTCCGCTCGACCCCCCGCCATCCGGATCCTATGCTAGGAGGGATATTTGGTTCACTTAGTGAAACCAGTCTAAAGCGACAAGGCACTAAGGTAACGAGGTGTATAATATAATCGTTAACTACTAAGACAATAGTAAGCCACTGGCGTAATAGAATCAACCAATGACCGTATTAATCAGACACTAACCGTGTTTAAAACCGAATCCATCCGCTCCCGCAACCGTCCACCCACCGTTACCGTGTCACTAACATCCGTACCGTCCGCAACATCATCATCGTCTAACCGTAGATCCCAACTAACCAAGACCTCCATCTCCGACTTCCCCGTCACCGCGGGTCCAAACAATGACAGCGGGCTTAACTGTACGACGTCATCCCACCACGCGGGAACCAGCCCGCCCTCCGTCAATCTGTGAAAGCGGAACCCCTCCGCCATACACCAAGTCATGTACTGACTGTATAACGGCACCTCATCGGTCGACCTTACCACGTCCGGCTCTCCTAAGTAGGCTGCAACTCTCTGCAGCATCGACTGAGATACTAACGGAAACAGTCCAGCCGTACCTCGCCACGGATTCTCACTCCACGGCTTCTCGGGAGTTAAACACGACGCGCACCAGGAATCCGGTGCCACGATAACCTTCCCAGTCTTCGTCTTCGACGACCTCGTCTCCTCGACCGAATAACCCGGACCTAGCACCACTACGTGGCGATCGCAACCACGTCGCGAACAGCATAGCACCGTCGCCGTTCCCAAGGGCGTCTCCATCTTTTGTACCTCTACGAGCCCTCGCCCCCTATAGAGCGGTACCGTATCCTCCACCACTACCGTGGCCACTGGCTCCATTACTACGTCGCCAACTATCTCGTTACCGGTCATCTCGAGACCTCGACGATAACAACCAAGAAGGTGATCCCTAACGGACAGCTTATCAGTATCCCTTCATTACCAGGACACTCCATTAATCGGCTACCGCCTTATACTGACTCCAAACGTTGACTCAACGAGAAAAGAACCTTACCTGTTTACCTGACCTACCGATCAAAGCTGGTCTACCCACCTAAGTGACTAGTCAGTAGTTTCTATCAAACGACGCTCTACGAAGCGGAACCAAAACGAGTCAACGACGACGTCACAGTCAAACAAAGCGGGGATCCCCTCCATTAAGTACCTAAAGTGTTTACCAACACGTGATGTATGTATCACTCCATGCGGCCCTTTGAAAGGGCCTCTTGCACTCCCTTGGCAGTCCGTGCTTAGCCAGTGAACTTCATTGCATTACGTTCCTATGAGTGGCTTTCGCTACGCTCCAGCCCTAACGGTGAGACCTGAAGGTCTCCTACAAGAATCTACGGCCCATGCGGCCCACCGACTATAAGCAAAGATAGACATAGTCGAGGTGGGCCGTAAATCCTGCGCCACTGGCCGTGGCGTCAAGTACCCTTTCCAAGGGTTTTTAGAAGCCCTAGCTCTACCAGGCAAGGCTCTCTGCCATCCTAGCTTCGCTAACGTTTGGGGGGTTGCACCCCCTCTCCGCTTCGCTCCGACCCCCCGCCATCCGGATCCTATGCTAGGGAAGGACACTCTAGTCACTAGTAGATACAGTCATAAGCAATAAGTAAAGCAAGTACTAAGAGAAAAACCGTATACTAATTTCAACTATGAAAATACGCAGTCACGAGTAATAAACATCAAGCATCAGGTTGGACAACCAACCATACTCCAACGGACCCATTCCGCGATTTCCATCCTTGGGCAGGATCGCACCTAACGCCCGGACGCCAAACATCAACTCTAGATTCGGCTCAAACACAGGAAGGTTCCCCTCCGACGTTGCAAACTCCATCTTCTTATCCAGCGCCCAATATACCTGGATATCCCGCGTATCATACTGAACATAGCCTCCCGGCGTATTCGGCGCCCAATTCTGCGTCCGCATTATACCGCTGACATGGTACTCCTGCGCGAACGTCCTCCCACTCTTCCGCTTCTCATCCTCACCGACCTTCCACCTTGCCTCGCCTACCGGCTGCCCAGGCCCGTCCGCCAACCGGCAATTAAATAGGCTATGATCCGTCGAATCAAACATTATCGACCCTTTCGGACCAGGGATAACCGAAAACGGTCCGTCTTTCGCTACCCGTAGAAAATTCGTCTCCTCTACCCTTAGTAGACGAACCCGCTTCGCTGTTTGATCTTCGAACCCAACTCTAAAAGTTGTCGGAATATCTCCACCCCCTCCGTCCGTCTCGACCAACTTTTCCTGTACCCGCGCCGGATAACATACGCCCATTACCTGGACTGAGGTAGCAAACGTTAACTTCAGTCGGACGCCGACTCCCTTTATATGGACCTTATCGGTACGCCTCCAACAACTGTCGGGACCACTATTCATCGACCGCTGAACCGGAATCACCTGCGTAATCGGAACCCGGAAGTACGACTCCGCCGCTTGGGGACCTTCGCTACACAAGATAACCTTATCCGGATGACCCCTCAGAATCACCTTCTGAGGCGGACCTTTCGCAAGACGAGCAACCTCATCCTTTACCGCACGTTGGACTACGCGGGAAACTACCGCCTTTCCTATAGTCTTCTTTCCGCTTCGCTTCTTTAGCGGCATCCTCTTCTTATACGGCTTACGACCATAGCCCTTTCGGCTAGACGAGTATCGAGCGACCATAATGTTTACCAACCCAGTTTAGCAACTGAACGAAAACTAATCGTAGACGACGTTACAATAGCAGCGGAGGTGGGGATCCCCTCCATTAAGTACCTACAGTGTTTACCAACACGTGATCCCGCTAGCATTCCATGCGGCCCTTTCAAAGGGCCTGATGCATTATCTTGGCAGCTAATGCTTATTAATGAACTCCGTTGCACTTCGTTCCTATTGGTTGCATTCCTACGTCATGCCTAAAAGTGACTTCTGCGAAGTCCTAACAAAATCTACGGCCCATGCGGCCCACCGACTATAAGCAAAGATAGACATAGTCGGTCGTGGGCCGTAATCCACCAGCCACTGGCCGTGGCTGAATGTACCCTTTGCCAAGGGTTTTTAGATGCCCTACCAGGCACCCTGATTAGGTAACGCCCTACCAGGCAAGGTATCTCTGCCTCCTTAGTCCCTGAGTAAAACCTATTGGTTAAGGCTCTCTGCCTTCCTAGCTTCGCAATGTTTGGGGGGTTGTACCCCCTCTCCACTTCGCTCCGACCCCCCGCTATCCGGAAATCGTACTGGGAGGGAAGACTTGATCAGTTAGTAAAGACGTGATCTTCAGTGAAACCAGTCCAAAGTGAGACGGTTTGATCGCAGAAGTTACGAGAACCACTTTCATTTATTGCAAAGCTAAAGAAGAAGAGCTATCTACGACGCGTGCGCGATGTCCAAGACTTCGACAGTTGACTTAGTCACGTGACTATCATTCAGGAGACAGGCCACAGGCCTGGAACCATAACAGGAATCGTTAATACCAATTTGCGTTATGACTCTACAGTAACTGAGCCTAAGCAGCAATCGTGCTTAATCATCATCCCCGCATAAATGCGACACTTCGCAGAAGTCACTCGTAGACCGCAGCGTAGCGGAGGTAACCAATAGGAACGCAATGCAATGAAGTTCACTTGTTAAGCACGGACTGCCAAGTGAGTGCAAGAGACCCTTTGAAAGGGCCGCATGGAGTGATGCACGGGTCACGTGGACCTCGTAGAGGTTTCCTATAAGGAAGGGGGTCCCCCACTAGATTCGTAGAAGGCGGATTTAATAGAAGAGCCATTCCACTACACTGCGCTACGCTTCGCTGCGCTCTCGTTTCGTTCCAGGCGCGCTATAGGTATCTAGGCCGCTAATCGATAGATTCTAGACTGATCTAGACGACTCGGTAGAGGATTACTTAGTAAGTACTAATGATTAATAGAAGAGAAAGAGGCGAAAGTCCTCGGTAGAGTATCTTGGTCCTTGATGACGATAAGGAGACTGATTACAAGTCCGGTAGGGCGGGTCCTCTTGGTAGAAGAAGTTGGCGGTTGCCTCGACGGCTTAGAGATGCCGTTACGGAGCGAAGCGGAGAGGGAGTCATTGGCGATAGCGCACCGGATCAGTGACCGGTAGCGTGGGTATCATATATGCGAGTGGAATGGAGCACGGAATTGTTGGTGTAGTCGAGAGAGTCGGTGGACGGAGTACCCGCATTCGCACTGGGACACGGGAAACGTGTGTCGAGAGCCGCGGTGTGAGGCTCATACGCAGCTGACGGAATTGGAGGTAGCGCTGGGGACGGCAGGACAATGGTCGTGACGAGATGGGTCTCGGTCGTCGATGGGAGTGGGAGACGCGGAGGACGAGAGGGCCGGTAGGGACGCCAAGGAAATGCACTCTGCCAAGAGGGCCGCATGATCGAAGTACACGGGTGAAGTGGGTCGATAGATAAATTGTTATATAAGAAGGGGATTCCTACTGGATCTCCTGTAGCGATGTCTTCGACGACTCGTCTTCGTTTCGCCTCGTTTCGTTGATAAACGGGTCGGATAGGATGGTTTACCGCGTAACTGCCTTGTTAGGATGGTTAACTAGTGGATCATAGATGGATTCGTATGGCTTACCTCGAGAGTCTTTGCTCGCGGAGTCGGATGGTCTCGTTAGTAGAGTCTGGTGATGTTGTTTCATCGCGGATCGTGTCGCGTCGTCTGGTTAAGCGTTGGTGCCTTGTAGCCTGACTGGCTTGTCAGTGTCTGTGTTATTGTGGGCTAGCAGTTCACCACAGGTTCGGAAAAACCTCGTCGCAGGTACGATCTCGGCGCAGGTAGAATTAGCCCGTGGCGGTGCAATTCTCTACCTGCGGTCAACTTTTAGCTTGTACTTTACATAAGCGCAAAAAAACATGCCACCGATCGAAAGTTACTGGTATTTCGGCAGTAGATGTACTGCATATGCTACACATAGCGCATAAAGAATTTCTGCCCACACCTCCCACCTATCTGTTACTTCTCTTTTCCCTGGAATTGACTTTAGAGATGCCAGTATCTGATTCTATCACCGACAGGTATAAATATGTCTAATGTCTTCCGCTAGGCCCCCAACTCCGGTCAATGCTCGTACAGCGCAATGGTTATCGATGCTAGTAAGGAATATGCAGACCACATGCGGGGCATATATTGACCCAAATAGCACACCACACCCACGGCGGCCCGTCAGGGAATACTTGGTCTCTCATAGGACGATGAGGCACATGCTGAAGACATGCACGCGAATGAGATCCGTCCAATCATGTCGGAGGACGTCGCTGATATCGTCCGGATGGGATATACCAAGGCAAGTTTATGGACTGACGGTATCGAACATATACTAAGCATATACAGGAATTCCTGGAGGAGTATGGGCTGGTGATTGCGTCCAATGGTCCCTCTAAAGTAGTCGTTCGGGAGGTTTATGATCATATTACGCTACCAGGGTACCCATTCACTAGTGTTAAGGGGATCCTTCACTGTATTCGCTCCGCACCGATCATTCCATATCGAAAAGCGTCAATTTCGGATGCCCGGGCCGCAATTAGCAAAGTGATGTCTGGGGTGTGTTGCGCATATACTTTGGATATACACTGCTTATGTACAGCAGATTCAGTTCAGTATCCGCGCGATTGGAAACCCTGAAAAGCACCACTTTCGCTTCCTGGGCATGTCTGGGAAGAAGGGTGACGAAACGACACATGCGTGGCATATGCAATACCGTTGTTCTGGGATTCGCCACTGCGAACTGGCCCATCAGAGTATCCTGACCTTATGCAGAGCATATGATCGTGTCCGTGTTGAAACTATTACTAAGATTCGACAGTTCAGTAGTCGGGTGTCTACTAATATTACCCAGGAGCTTAAACTAGAGACAGAAAGGTACCTATATGATGCATATGCCAAATATATACTGAACATATTCGTAGCTTCTACAATGCGTTCATGATGAAGTGGAATCAAGATAAATGCAAACCGCCTGACGTTGCCGATATCATATGCTCTGCAGATCCAGATATATATGAGCTCAATGGAGTTTGTATATGCCATGCATATGGCCAACACATGCTGATCATATACAGATCACTTTCATTGGCTGCCCTCTGGCGAGTGCGCAGGAAACATGGCACTTTACTATTCCTGTCACTGCTTCGTTCGCACGCATTGATCAGGACTATCTACGGGCACTATTCCAGTACGGAGTTAAACCACAGAGGTCTCATTGCGTTTTTATCGATCAGACTACGGGCCGGAGGCGACGCTGTGGTAGGTAAATAGTCAAATATGTTAGGCATATGCTAAGTATTAGTAGGATTTGATCACCCGGAGGGCTATGGCAAGGTAGTGCAGAGGGAATGCGAGGTCCGATTTGATATATATGTCCCCGTCAACATGGCACGATATAAGTTTTTTGTACTCTGTGCATGCGGTCCGCATTCGCACCATCCTCCCTTTCCGAATCGCGTGTCTGAAGATGTTAGGCAACTCATCAGAAATGCTCTCAAAGAGGAGGATGTGTTGACTCTTACTCCGCGTATGCAGCGCACTTGCAGAACATATACCTAAGCTAACCAGTCATAGTCCGATTCATCCAGTCTCCCACATTCAAATCCCTGATGCAAGCATATGGCCAGGATATGTCAGAGGCTATTGCACGTGCTGTTGCGGTACGAGACCGCATTTCGATGTTGATTCGGAAACAACGGCTATTAGAGCATCCGGACGGAACATCGCTAGCTGGTCAGTATGTGTTATATATATGCACGGCATAGACTAATCATAAGCAGGCGTTGCGCGGGAGGCTGATATTGACCGCACCCGCCCAAACGAACAGCAGTGGATCAGGAAAATAGTATTTATCGACGAAGCCGGGGAAGCCTCAACATGTGGTTCGCACTACATTGTCATATGCATGACATATGCAGGAGCTAAACAATTTCACAAATCAAATATGTTTGAAATGGATACAGCATTCAAGGGCGTCCATGGTGGCCATAACGTGTTTTCCATCGCAGGGTGGGATTCTGAGGTTCGACGTAAGTTGACCATATACACGGCATATTTCGTAACTGACAATATCATGCTTGTTCGTCTATTGTTGGGTTTTTACCACCATAACAACGACCCCGCAATGGCGGACTCTTTTTTATCACCTGTTCGATACGTTCGATACTGTTGGGAGCGAAGTAATCCATTGGTGGCATACCCATCAAGGCTCTGGAATCCGGACATTTACCGTAGATATGGACAAGGCTTAGGCGTTCGGTGAGTTAAGGTATATGTACACCATATGAAGAGCATGGGCTAAGTTCATGCTTAGGTCTCGGCCAGTACTTGCATGAGTAAGACCCATCGTGGAGTGTTCTCGAGCATCTCTCGTATATCCTTATCTTCTGCCGAACGCATGTTCTGCGGAACCTCCGTAAATATAATCATGGCAAACTACGAGCACGCGATATCGAGTTCCTATGGTGCGCGAAATCCGAAGCGGAATTGGTATAAAAGGCTGCAGACGTATGCCAAGCATATCCTCAGCTTAAACCGTTCATTAACCACAAGCTCGAGGACTGGTGTATCATTGGCCTTGCGCCGGAGCATACCCGTATGTATCCGGAGTGGTTTACCTATGCGAGGAAGCATTCAGGTATCGCCGAAAGCTCTCATTTTAAGGATAACAACTTCACTGGCCGTAATCTTAGTCTGCTTGGGGCAGTAATGAGGTACGTACTATATATATGCTTTGCATATGGAATGCTTATGCCTCTAGGCTTCGCGATCATGCCTTCAACATCTTGACCAGTCGAGAGATTGAGCTATCGCGAGGTATACGCGCTACATGGCGGCAATGTGGACGCATCGAAAGTTACAGGACCAAGTTCTCTTACCAAGGTCAGTTATCCTATAGCCTAAGGCTTTTATATATGCTTAGTAGATCTATGGGTAGTTCGGAGACAACTCGAGGCTGCAGAGCGCCGCCAATTAGACCCTCGTCTCCCGTGGGATCCCACGAACCCGTTCATGGAACCGGCACAGCATGCGCCTGGCATATACGACGCCGATGACTGGAGGATTCTGGATGTAGCCGACGAGGTCGAACACGGTAAGATAGGCTATGCCATATATATGCCTAGCTATACTAATATTAAATAAGATTCCCTGCCTGCAAACGATACCCTGCCTGCAAACGATACCCTGCCTGCAATCGATCCCTTGCTCTATCTAGACGCTTGTAGAACCGTCGCTGTCGAGCAAATGCCTAACATAACCCCTACAGTTGTAATTCAGACGCCACCACGACAAATACAACCACCAGACCCTACATGCTCCGCATATGTACGGCACACGCGATCAGTCGACTCGCTTCTCCAGGCCGGACCGAGTTCAAGGCCAAATCGGCAAGCAAGTCCGCTTAGACCAAGCATAGGCTCTGCATATGCGCCAAAGCGGACTCACTCGCAGCGTCAGTCCACGGACGATACTGAGCATATGCACATACGTGATATCGAAAAGGATCGCGCAAATGGTATGACTCTCCGCAGTGCCACAAAAGCACATGCTCAGCGTATGTCAGTCCGGCGCGAAAGACCAGCACGCGCTCAGCATATGCGGACCAGAAGCCAGGAGGAGTTTCACGCAAAGGCAGCGGAGCTTGAAGCTAGAATCGAGGCGATGCTGGAGACGGATTTACTATAAACATATGCACGCCACATCCTATTCATATGCGAAATTGAACATGTCTTTCTTAAGAATATTCATGCTCCTTTATACTATCGACGTGTAGTGTACATGCTGCGCATATGAATTTGCCTTTTCAGGGATCAGTAGAAACTTCCCCATATGCTAAGCATATGGCCACGATTTAAGCCGTGGTTTTCCCTTTCTTTATAGGCTTGGTGACTACATCATATCAGCATATGCGACGGATATGCTAAAAATATACCTACCACGACTAGATTTGCGAGCTGCAGCAACTTTGGACTTATCCGTGTCAGGTACTGCATCAAGTCAGCATATGCCGAGTATATTTAATGATAGACATTACTGCCTTTGCTTGAAACACGTGGGCGTTTTGAAGCGCTGCCATCAGGAGGACTAGGGGATTCTGTGGGATCAACATATGCTGTGCATGTGCGCGAATAGACAACATACTTGACTTGTTGGATTTATCATTGTCGGAATTATAAGTAGCGGCAGACTTTATACGGTTAGTATATAATAAGCATATGCAATATATGACATACCTTGCGGCGTTTACTGGGTGTCGACATCACCGGAACAGGCTGTACATCTCTTGTTAGCATATATAAAGCATGTGTATCTTCGTTCACCGATTAGCATTCGGGTACGGGCGGCCCTGAAGGATGGGAGGGAGGAATCAAGGCGGCAGGGCTGGACACATGCCTAGCATCAGCCTAAGAGGGCTGCTTTAGGGAGCCGTTCATCGCGTGCTCCGAAATCGTCGCAAGGGGTACATAGGTTAGATATATATTGCCCATATAGAGTGGACCTACAATCACTCGAGTCGTCTTCGAACTGGTAAGGATGCAAACTGGGTGCAGAGAGTACATATACCATGCATGTGCAATACTCACGTCCCGATGGAACTTAGTCCCATACTGTGCAGCAAACTCGGGGTTTGCCGCCCTAAAAAGTGTCAGCATAGTATATGCATGGTATATGGGAAGCGTACGCATATGCCTCTATTGTATCGCACATCTTATTCATCTTGTGAGAGCCGCGTCTATACATGATTAGCATATGCGTTGGATATGCATAGCAGATGCATACCCAGGTTCATGAACGTATCCAGCACGACGCCATCCTCCGGAGCGGATCCAGAGCTTCAAGGCGCTATATATGCTCAGCAGATGCGATTTAAACGCATGCACAGGGAGTATGCTATACTTGTTTCCAGGGATAGACTCGCTATCATCGAGATTGGAGCGATCGTCGACCGGGTCGACTAAATATTCTTAGTATATGCTCTAGAGATATTATATCAGCCATACTAGCTCCGGGATGCTTTTGTCGGATATGGCGACGTAGCTGTAGATATTTAGTACATGTGGAGGGTATGCTGGACATGTACTCACTGCAGGTTGCTGACCAAAGGTCTTTCCACACATATCATCACCGTCAACTACAACATCACAGCTATACATGCTCAGTGTATGTGTCACATATAATATTATGGCACTTACACGTAGGTGTTCAGCTTCGAGAGCTTTACTCGGGGGTTGTCTGGAATATCGGCTGCATATGCTAAGCATCACTACAGTATATGTCCAGGATATACGAACTCTCGTCTTGAAGCTCTGCAACTTTGACGGGTGTACCTAGCATTGTATTAGCATATGCCTCGAACATGCAAAGCATATAATTATTACTTACGTCCTTTCTTTCCTCCAACAGTTTCGCGCTGGGCTGTATATGGTTAGTACATATCATGCATGCCTTGCGAGTACACACAGTTTGGCATATAATCAGGATTGTTGTTGGGAATCGGTCCTGCATATGCTCAGTGTATGTTCACTGAGTTGGATATATGCGCTGCATATACCATGAAAGTATCCCCATTGGTGGTGCGGGTTAGCTGCATTATCGATGCGTGCGCCTTCGTATGGTCGAGACATCTATGCAGCATATGCTCAATACATGCTCATATCATGTTTAGGGCGGGGAAGATGGCGCATATGCTTGTCACACGTGCCCAAGATGTTGAGTATGGGTTGGGTACATACCTTAAAGTGGTGAGATGTAAAAAAAGAAGAAGGATCTGGAAGGAAGAGCGACCATATGCACCAAATTCACATTGCGGTGTCCACTGTGGACGCGCAGCATATGTTGATATCAAAATTTTGAAAGATTTTATCAGGTGATTTGAGGCTTACGTAATTCACAGCAATCGAATTCAAAATTTACCAGTGAAATTACAGCGTATATAAATTACAAGCTAAAAGTTGAACGCAGGTAGAGAATTGCACCGCCACGGGCTATTTCTACCTGTGCTGAGATCGTACCTGTGACGAGGTTTTTCCGAACCTGCGCTGAACTGTAAGCCCAAATAGATAGCCGATCGCAGTGAGAGATATCTCTTCCTTTTCTCTTTAGCAATTCAACAGCGTTACCAGCTTACCAAATCCTTCGTGGTTTGGGCCCTCGACATCCTATACCGTTATTATCCGGTTACAATAGACTTTACATGGTTCGTATTCATTTATATAGATATACGACCTAAGACTATTACATCCCTCGTCCCATTTTTCTCGCTCTTTGATCCCGTCTATTGTGGTTTGCCCTGTGCTGTCTTGCAGCCTGGGTATTTCTGTCACTAGAAGAGCCTCCTGTATTTCCACGGCCATATCCTCTTCCGCGCCCTCTACCTCGAGCACTTGAAAACTCTTCACCATCATCTTCTTTATGGTACGCCGTTGAGGGCAATTGCTGCTGCTGCCCGCTGAATGCAAACTTCTGCTCCAGCTGTTGTCGCTTGCGATTGTCTCTCCCCAACATGATTGCCCAACCTTCGATCGCTTCATCAGTCCATCCCGTGTTGGTTTTGAGTGCCCGTCTTTCTCTACTTCTTCGTGTGTTTCCATCCCGCTGGAAGATGGCAGGGTTTGCTTGCCATGTCTTGAAGAGAGTTTCTTCATCTTTCTCCGACTCCATTCCTTCTGTGGTGTCCACTGTGCCACCAACATCTGCAACATCATAGGTATCATCTCGTTCATCTTCATCTGCATCAAATGTAGCAAGGGCTGAAAAGATGGCTTCTTTCTGCTCTGACCGGTCTTCATTGCTGGCAAGGAGATCATCGGCAGTTCGCTGTGAGCGTTCAAACTGTACTGCTGACGAGGATACAGCGAGGCGATCGAACTTGTCGTTGTCAAACACATTCCGTCGTATTGGAAGGTTTTTCGATTCGTCAGGGGGCTCCAACAAGGCCGCGGTGGCTCTCTCAACATCGCAATTATGTTCCTCCAGAATTATGGTCGCCACCGACTGGTCGAGGTCCGGAAACAAGTCTAGCAACTGTGCCAGTGAGTCGGTCGCAACTCCCTTTCCTCTGCTTTCCGGCCGAATAATGAATTGATCTTGCAGCAGATCCCTTGCTCTTGATGCTTCGGGTATGTTGAGAAGGGGCTTCAACTCCTCGAGAAGTCGTGTTTGTGAGAATAGCTGGTTGAGCAATGGTTGATAACTGGCGATCGAACGAAAAATGTAGATTGTGTCGGCTAACAAGGAATACTTCGGCCTGTCAGGCTGGGCTAGGCTAAGGAATCCTTTGTAGAGCACAGTGATGACCTCCTGGTGGAAGACGGAAGCGAACATGGCATCCATGAAGTCGGTATCAGTTAGGACAAGTTCAGAAACCATTGGAATGAACATAAGCTGATTGAAACGCTTCAAATCGAACGTAGTCGCACTGATGACCTCGCTCTTTGCTCTCCGAAGGTTGGGTTCAAGGATATCTGACCGCTTTTGCAAGACCACGATCAACAAATCTTGCAGGTTTCGGCTCCTGGGAAAGACCAAAATGCTATTTGATAGGGATGACCAGTCCAGTGCCCAGTCGGGGACTCCATGGGCGCTGAGAAGTCTATGAAGGAGCATGAACACTGCCTTATGCAGGGAGTCATCGTGAGGTAGCCGGACATGTTGAAGGATCAGATCTCCGTTCTCCGACAAATATGTGGTCAGAAACTCCCGAAACCCGCCATGAGATGCAATGAATTCCTTCTCGGGAAGTTGGAGATATAAATCTACCAGAAGCTTCCATGTTTCGACAATGTTCGTCCATTCGGATGGGGCAAGTTCCTTTGGACCTCCAGAAAAATAGGGAGCGAGAGTGGGCAACCCCATGGATTCTTTAGAATCAGAGTTCAACTATCTTGAAATGACAAGTTAGAAAAATAGATCAATCTATCATTTCCATTTCAATCAATGTTTTGGAGAGATGTAAACTACAGGCGATGACTGTCGTTGTAACCCATCATGGGTTCTGACTCAGCCGGAATGCCAAGATTTCTAATCACGTGCAGCCCACAACTCTCCCATCTTCAAAATTCAACGCGCGAATTGACGGTATCAACAACAAGTCAACTACCTCCAATCATCACGTTACCTGACCGCGCGTCGTGATTGCTACCAGAATGTCTTTCCAAAAGCCAGAGAAGGATTTCGGTGATGGACCGGTATGTTGATCGATGCGCAGCGGGTTTCGGAAACTGACTTGCAGCAGAAAATCCACAAGATCCGCATCACTCTCACGAGCCGCAATGTCAAGGCCTTGGAGAAGGTCTGCACCGAGCTCATCGACCGCGCGAAGTCCAAGGATCTCCGTGTGAAGGGCCCGGTTCGCTTGCCCACCAAGATCTTGGCCGTCACCACCCGTAAGACTCCCAATGGTGAAGGTTCCAAGACCTGGGATCGTTTCGAGATGAGGATCCACAAGCGATTGATTGAGTAAGTCGGTCGATACTCTATCTAGGGTCATGCTGATTGTCCTAGTCTCAATGCGCCCACCGAAGTCGTCAAGCAGATCATCATCAACATCGAGGCTGGTGTCGAGGTCGAGGTCACGATTGCGGCTTAGAGGATGGCTGGACAATTGGAGTGGACAGAAGGTGGAACGCGGTAGCCAGACAAAGTTCAAATGCGAAGATGTGTTTGAAATCGCGACAGGCGTGATATGATGATGTCTTTGTGTAATCCGTATCCATATCTCGGCTCATACCCAGTAGACATGATCAGAGAGCAGTAAAATACTCGTATCCAAGCCTCGACTACCATGTTCGGCTACAATGTTTGATGATGTTCCACGTCCAGAAAGCTGCTTGAAGAGTAGTGATTGACTTCGAGCAAATCCTGAAACATTTGGCGCTCGCGAGACAGGATTCGTAGCCCCAAATCATAGAATTCTCTCGGGAATATTACTGGTGGTGTCTTTGGCATTTGTAGGCACACGAGCAGCATTCTCAAACAATGGTGATCGAATTTCTTGATTGTCATAAGCCAAATGTATCGTGTCTTTGGTTGTTCGGTGAGCATGGACGACGTGGTTCTACATCACAAAATATTTTCACATCTACCATCCAAACTATTCAAAAATAACCGTATTGGGCCACTACTACGGGACCAACGAATCTTTGATAAAATTTCGCTCCTATTAGTCTATGATGTCTGGTAACCCGACCTTTGTATAAATATCGGAACTCATCGATCAACATCCCCCATGTCTCCCGAATCTATCCAGAATGGCGATTCCGCGTCCAAATCAATCGACCAACGCGGGATGAAGCGAAAAAGGTTGCAATCCCAAGAGCATGGATCTGGCGAGAGTTCTACAGTGAACGGGGAATTGAGAAAAGAGCCATCAACAGAACCTTCACCAAGAGACGATCAGGATGATTATCCTGTCGGAAATTTTTCTCCCGATACCAAACTCCGATTGGGCAAATCGATATCAATACGAGACCTCGAGAATCGTCCACATGGAGGCGTACAAGCAAGCCAAGATACGAGTACGAATGGAAGGCTCCGGCAACTCCGATCTCAAGCTACCATTCTACGAAAGTTTCGCCAACAACTACCGATATGGCCATCGTCATCCACGATTCGCTCTTTCCTACAATCGGATAGACCTCAAGTTTTGATATTGACAGGTGAAACGGGTTCCGGAAAGAGTACCCAAGTCCCTCAGTTCCTCCTCAGCGAACGATGGTGTCGAAATGGATGTATCGCGGTGACGGAGCCACGTCGAGTTGCTGCCATTGGATTGGCGAAAAGAGTCGGTTCCGAGATGGGTGTCCGGCTTGGTAAAGAGGCAAAAGGTCTTGGGAAAAGACAGGAAGACTCTGTCGGATGGTCCGTTCGGCTCGACAATAATGTGAGCAGGGCAAGAGGTGTCCGAACTCGGATCAAGTATCTGACAGAAGGAATGTTGCTAAGAGAGTTACTGAGAGATCCATATCTCGAGTCCTATGCAGCGGTGATTGTCGATGAGGTCCATGAACGCAGCATTGGAGTTGATCTTCTGCTTGGATTTCTTCGATTACTTCTATTTGGCGAAGGAGACGGGCCGAAACGAAAGAATCCTCTAAAGCTCGTGGTCATGAGCGCAACCACGAATGTCGAAAGCCTCAAAGAATTTTTTAGTGAGGGGTGCCCAGACAGGAAGGCCTTGGTGGAACAAATCTCCACTGAAGAAGCAGAAGGGGAGTGGGAGGGGTTCTCAGACGCTGAAAGTGAAGCTTTTGCGTCGAAGAAACCGGATGCTCCGAAAAAGGCCCATGTGGCACATCCTCAAGACAATAAACTGGCCAAGGCCCAGGTCGGGCCGGTATCATCCTACCATGTGGAAGGTCGTCAGTATCCAGTGAAGATTGTATACTTGAATGAACCCACTCAAGATTTTGTCGAAAGTGCTCTGAGTCAAATCTTTGAGATTCATCGAAAAGAGCCACTTCCTGGCGATATTCTTGTGTTTCTGACAGGACAGGATACGATCGAGTCACTGGAGCGGTTGATCAATCAATGTGCACAAGAATTGGACAGAAAGCTACCCAGGGTGCGTGAATCGGACTATATTCGACCGCTGCTAACTATCTCAGGTCCTTACTCTGCCACTGTTTGCCGCTCTACCTCAAGCGGCGCAACAACGAGTTTTTGAGAGGCCCCCTTCATTCACACGCAAAGTGATCCTTTCCACGAATCTTGCGGAAACGTCGATTACGGTACCCGGGGTACGATATGTTGTGGATAGTGGCAAGGTGAAGGTCAAGCAATACCGAAGTCGATTGGGGCTGGATTCGTTATTGGTGAAGCCCATCTCACGATCCTCCTCCATTCAACGACAAGGACGAGCTGGAAGAGAAGCTCCCGGTATCTGCTACCGGTTGTACACGGAACCGGACTTCCTCCAAATGGAGAACGAAACCATGCCGGAAATCCTGCGAAGTGATCTTAGTGGCTCCGTCCTGAGCATGAAAGCTTGTGGGATTTCCGATGTTGCCGAATTCCCTCTGCTCAGTCCCCCTCCTAGGGATGCACTAGAGAAAGCTTTGATTCATCTTTTGCAATTGGGGGCACTGAATGACTCTGGAGACATCACAGAGGTTGGCAAGCAAATGTCGAAAATGCCTCTGTCTCCCAACCTTGCTCGAATCATCATCGAAGCCAGTCAACCTGAATTGGATTGCCTCGAAGATGTTATTGATATCATTGCTTGTCTTAGCGTTGAGAACATCTTCATCAACGTCGTGTCCGATGAAAAGCGTGAGCAAGCGCATGAAGCAAGACAGAATCTATATCGACGAGAAGGAGATCACCTCACGATGCTCGCAACGGTTCAAGCGTATCTGTCTGAGCATTCAAACCGAAAAGCATGGGCGGAGAAATATTTCGTATCTCATCGGGCCATGCAAAGTGTCATGGTGAGTTGTTTACCGCACTCCCAAGGGTTTTCTAACGGTTCTAGGACATTCGGAAACAACTCCTCGCTCAATGCGTGCAAATGGGGTTGTCTTCAAACTCCTCCTTTCAAAATTCCGAGCCCGAAAAGCGGACGGTGACCATCCTACGATGTTTGTTGAAGGGATTCATGGGAAACATCGCCCGATTGATGCCTGATGGAAGTTATCGAACCATTCTAGGCAATCAGACCGTGGCCATACACCCATCAAGTGTCTTGTTCAGCAAAAAGGTGGAGGCCATCATGTTCAGCGAGTTCGTCTTCACCAACAAGAGTTACGCACGAGGTGTGAGTTCCATACAAATGGACTGGATTGGAGAGTTACTTGCAGGTAGCGGAATCTAAAGAGTTCATCTCCTTTTACCAATTCCTGTGCCTTTATCCGCTAGACTGACAACTTCTCCAATGCCTGCTTCGGTTTGTTCATCCTCCAGGACACGGATCTCCTCACGACAATCCCACCATTTCTCTTCCGCTAGACTGAAGGCGTCTTTTCTAACTTGCTTGACGGACTTGTTTTCAATTCCAGAACCATCTCCCGCCTCTTGGAGCAATACTCCTTGCCATTCCACCGAAGTCCGATTATAGAAATCTCGAAGAGATTCAAATGGACGTGGATGAGGAAGAGTGTCGTTGAGAGAAGATTGCTGTTCATCAGTAGCCTCTTCATCCGCTTCCTCTTTGGCCGGTTCTGTTTCCACCTTAGACTCTTCAGCCGCAGCAGGACTCTCCGTATCATCTTCGTCCTCGCTCTCATCGTATTCATCCTCCTCTTCTTCACTCTCTTCCGCATCGCTTCCTTCCCAATCTTCAAGCTCCCTCTTAAAGACCTGCTTCATTCCATCCAACTTCCCGAGATCCACAGCCCAAAGCTCATCAAATGTATATTCACGATCGCCCTTCTCGTAAGTTCCACCAAAGATGTACAACACATCATCTTGCACGGCCAACTGAGCGTTGAATCGACCATGAGGCATTTCGTATATCACTGTATGCTCCACCTTCACCTCCTGCTCTGATTCATCGACCTTTGACTCGATTTGATCAGCTCTAGATATCTTGCCACTCGTTTCCAAGGCAGCGAGGTTCCGTAACAATTCGTCTTCATCTGCCTTTCCTCTCTGCCGTCTAGACCGATCTTGCGGTTTCTTTCCGGTAGATCTGGGACGGCGGAGTGCAAGCGGGAAATATCGATTCCGATCAATATTCCATGCAAATAGGGTATTGAAAAATTCACTGTCCATTCCCTCTTCGCTTTCCTCCACATCGAACACGCCACCAAACTGAACTCCTCTTCCTTTGTGGTATGCCATAGTAGCACCAGCTCTAGGTGGATTCGGTGCATTTGCTGGTCTCTTGCGTCGTTCCCATCTCACCCCTGGCGGTGTCTGGGCAGACTCGCTCCCTGGAGGAACAATACGAAGAAACCATGTGTCTTGATGAACCATTGGTTTCAAGATGACACGAGAAGAGTTCCCACCCTTGCCTTGTTTACCAGACACGGATGCCTTCACCCGGGAGTATCCTCCGTACAGCGCAGCGCCACCGTCATGGGGAAGAAGTGAGAAAGAGGATCGAGCATCGGGTTTGCCAGAAGAAGGGGGCAGAGTTGGGGTGTACCATGTGAATGTCTGGCAATCATACACCCACAAATCTTGAAGATACTTTGTCGTTTGGGATGTATCTTGAAAGCCACCAAACAGCAAAATGTATTGCTTGAAGTAAGTCATTCGATGACCACTTCGTGCGGGAGGTCCTTTTCCCTTACTCTCCAACTTCGTCCACTCTCTTGTTGTGGGATCCAGGTGCCAGAAGTCGTTGTAATGGTAGAAAGTTCCTTGCTTGGGCGATGAAAACTCTCCACCAAACAGATAAATTCCGCCAGCATTGCCTCCCCGACACCAAGCATGGCCGCTACGAGGTAGCGGAGAATTGGGACTGGTCACAATACTCCATTTGTCCTGCTTGATGTTGTAGATGTAAAGGTCGTTGTAGAACTTGGCCAAAGCACCATTGAAGTACTCCCCTCCGTAGAGAAATAGTTCATTGGAGTTCGATGGTGACCCTATGATCGTAGCGGAAGATCTTGGTGGAGGGGGATCACAAACTGATTCCGTAATTTTGAGGAATTGTTCTTGCTGATTTGCATATTCGGCAAGGACAGCGTCGAGATCAACATCTTCTACATCGCTATCTTGATCCTTTCCCTTTGATTTTGCCTTCTTCTGCTTTTGAGAGGCCTTCTTTTCCTGCTTTTGCGCCACTCGAACTTTCTTCTCGGCTGTTTTGGACTTTTTGTCTTTTTTGCCCATTTTCAATTGGGCTTCGGCAGCGATGGGGACGTACCAGCGGTCGAATTGAATGCTAAACAGTCAGAGCGCCGGTATATAGAGTGCCTATCTGGTGCAAAAGCCGATAGCCTGACTTCGAAATGAGTTGGATATAATTTGTGTACGGGGGAATAGAGGGGGTTGATGATAGTTAACTACGTACCATGAAGCGATGATCTGTAGAGTACCATAGTGTGGACTTGCAAATGAATTCCCCACAGATCATGGGTCTAGCAGCACATGTGCCTCTATCCATATGTAATACATAACATGAATCGTCGTCCTGGACGAGCAATTAACAGCTCCTAGCTTAGGACAATACCACAGCAGATTAGATAGTAGCTGCGGTCCGCTTACGTGCCGGAAGCTCTATGATTTGGGGTAAATTGGGGGCAGAATGATATTTGATGCCAGGATGGGTAGACTTCTAGACCCTCCATGACGTTGTTCCCACGCTTCGCATCATTCAAAAACTATCAAGCGACCACCGTGGCTGACTTCGAAGCTTTCTACCATTTACGTTTCCCCAAGAATACCTTCTAACACAAGCGGAACATTCATTCGCGACCGATGAGCGAAATGGCCCCCCCGACGAGCAAGGAGCTAGTGTCCAGGGTGTACAAGATGATCCCGCCGATGCTGGGAACTTTTCACAAAGGTACGATTTCCCTCTGACGAGTCGATTGTTCGTCCTAATGCTATAACAGGTCAACTTGGGCGTGTTGCTGTCATTGGGGGCAGCGAAGACTATACTGGCGCTCCATATTTCTCCGCCATGGCTTCAGCAAGGCTTGGATGCGATATGGCACGTCATGAAAGACAGGCACCGAGATCATAGCATTAAAACTGACGCCTTCATAGAGCCATGTTATTTGCGAGATTGGCGCCGGACAAGTCATTAAAACCTACTCACCAAACCTCATGGTGCACCCATACTTACGATCGACCAAGTCGGCGTCCTCGTCAGACACCGCATCATCCCTAGCCCAAAGCGTTATCGCAATGCTGTCAAGGCTCCACGTTCTGGTCATTGGACCTGGGTTAGGAAGAGACAAGTTGATGCAAGATACGGTCGCTGAAGTTCTCAAGGAGGCTCGGAAACAGAATATCCCCGTCGTGTTGGATGCTGATGGGTTGATACTAGCACAAGAACGACCGGAGTTGGTCAAAGGCTTCGAACTTTGCATTCTCACACCGAACGTAGTCGAATTTGGTCGTCTCGCAAAGAGCGTCAATCTGGATATGAATGAAGGTGAGCCTGCAACAAGATGTGCTCGGTTGGCCAAGGCGTTTGGCGGGGTCACGATTATCCAGAAAGGGCAATCCGACAATATTTCCAACGGAGACCACACGGCGATATCGGATGGAGAGGGTGGATTGAAACGAAGTGGCGGACAGGGCGATACTCTGACCGGAACTCTTGGAACCCTCCTTGCCTATAGGAAAGCCTACCATGATCGCATTTGGCAACATGAAAATGATCTGCCAGAAAAAGAAACACTGGCATTAGCGGCATGGGCCGGGAGTGCAATCACACGCGAATGCTCGAGATTGGCATTCAAAGAGAAAGGACGAAGTCTACAGGCGGGAGACTTGACAGATAAGGTCACAGAAGCCTTCCAGAACATCATTGGAGAGAAAGGGTCACGACTCTGACGAATGGAAAACCCTGGAACACGGCTGGACATGGAATATCAGTTTAACATTCAAGTGTGGTATACTTCGCGGATCAATCGAACCGTTAATGCGTCGACGAGCTCTCCCAAGGTGCAATTCCTTTGCACCCCGCTACTGAAACTACTCTATCACGGTCCTCGTTTGGGATCGTCTTCCAAATCCATTCCCTCAACTCCTTTCCAACCTTCTCAATCACATCCACAGCCCATAGAACATCCAGATGTTCATACCCTTCGATAACAGTGCTATGCACAAGATTGACACATGGCTCCCTACCACGCTCAAATCGTCGAAGAAGCCGCTGTCCATCGACCAGGTTATCACTTCCGGCGACCCATAGTGCAAACGGAGGTGCCCGAGAGTCATACCAAGCATATGCAGCCCGCTCCTCTTCCGATCCAGGTGCATGTACCGGTTGAGCACGATTCTCTTCTGGCGCTCTGTGGTCTTCGTCATCCTCCATTCTCACCTCCCTTTTGGTCGCCAAGATGCACTGTTGGCGAGCAAATCCCATGGAGCCTAGCCACCATGCCATAGACTCCGCAGAAATATAAACAGGACTCTGAAGAAAATATCGGGGCACTAGGTCACGCTCCCAACGCTCATCCGTCCATTCAAACAAATATGTGAACACTTTGTACCCGAGCCTGCCATATATAGCTGAAGGTAACAATTTTTGGAACGTCAACATGGCTGGAATAAAAGCATGGATACCAAACACCATCCGAAACACTTGCGGGGGTAGCATCTTGATGAAACGGAAATATACCCGTCGAAGTAACGGTCCTGCGTAGGCTGCAGGTGCCAATCCAGCAAAGAGGCTGATTCTTTCACCGATTACGGGCCTTTGTTTTTTCGCTAGGGCAACCATGGATGCTGCTGTGCCTTGAGAGTGAGCGACTAATGCAACTTTGCTAAAACCCGTCTCTCGGACCACTCTTGAGATGAGAGCTGCTAAGTCAAACACCCCCATAGCTCGTAGATTCCATGACCAGAATCGCGGATCGTTTGAAGGCAAGGTCGTATGTCGCGGATTCAGTCCACAACGAGGCGCACCTAGCCAAATATCGTAGTGAGACTTTGCTAGAAAGAACGCAAGGGAGGATGGACCAGACACTAGATAAGAGCCGGGAGATTGAAGGAGACCAGGTATAAGAAGGACAGGGTATTTCCCTTTCGCTTTCGACTTGCCCACGCCCAGAGGAAATGAGGGTCCAGTGCCCGATGATATACTGAAGAGATTATCCGGCCCAAGAGGACCTCGATCTGCTTGCGGATTGGGAGAGTAATTATGTGGATTGTAGAGATGCCACATGGAAATGAGAAACCCATCCTCCGTTTCAAGAGTATACTCCTCCAAATCCAACCCTTCGCGAAGAGCATACTGTCGGAAATGTGGAGTCAAAGGATCAGGCCCACCCGCAGTTGGGACAAACGTCTCTTCTACGCCCAGGGACTCTGGCACCGGTATAGTTGGAGCGGCTGCATTTCGCTCTTCGTCTTTGACGGTTCGTCCTCCATGCTCTTGGAGCCACTCTTCTTGCTGGTAGCGCCTCTCGTCCGCCCTCCGTTTCTCCTCCTCGTAAAATGGCCGGGATTTCTTTGGATCCCCTTTCATCCTTGCGCGGAAGTATCCCGGAACCTTGCTGCTCCCGCTAAGGATCGATCCAAGGACAATTACCATGAGGAAACACATGCTCAGAATCATAGAAGTTACCCGAAAGGTAAGACTTTGGAGACCTCGTAATAGACTCGGCGGGCCATACATAGGAAGCGGGGGAAATAAAGGATTCGTTGTCGGTTGGGATTGAGCTTCACAGAATGGTCCATCCACTCCTAGTCGATCTTCGATATTATCGGATCCATTTGACTCTTTTTCCCTGTCAAACACTCTTGAATCTGCCGGCTTATCTGAAGCTTCCTTGATCTTAACATTCATCTCCCCAATTCCATGAATTGTCCCATCTTTTGCTATTCGCGTCGAAGGGTCACTCGGGAGACTTTGACCAGGAGGATGGGATTCCAATACATCTTTCAAGACGTTAAGTTTGGCGGCTTCGGGAATAGGAACGGCGGTGAGCCGCTCTGCGTCGGCAGTCTGAACCACAGGATCCTGAGGCGTCACGAACTTGGCCTTAATTGCCCGTGATGATGGGTGTCGAGTCGGCGCATGTTTAGCAAGTCTTGAGGCTTGAATCTCATACTCCGACTGTAGCTCTTGACGGGAAAGCTCCTGTCCAGTATTCACGCTTCCATTTCGGAATTGGGTCTCAGTTCTAGCGGACATGGTATTGGATGCGACCACATTGTACTGCGAACCAAAGACTTTTAGATCAACTCAAGGAGCAGGACTGTAACGGCAACTGTAATAGAGTGTATTAACTGGCGGTCGATGCAAGCTACGGCTAAACGGGTAACCCTAAGATGTCAAGGAACGGACTGTACGCTGGCATGTGAGAATTGCATCGCCATCTGAGAATAGATAATTTTGATGATTCAAGCAGGTTCCCGACGATCAAAGCGGACAAATGCATGATGATGCAAGTGGAGCAATTCAGTTGTAGATTGTAACTTTGTAAGATCAATAGAGGCACGGTGGCTGGTAAGTTGGATCCACTGTGTTTCCGTGCCCAGTCAGGTAATAGATAACTCATCATTCCTGTTGGCTTCATCTACATAGTCTTAATATGACTACAGGTATTAGTTTCGTCTTGGCTGCCATGGAATGCTCAGTTTATTGCCCATCTACAGATCGTCAACTAGAGTTTTGATAGTGTATCATACATCGAATTCATCCCGATCGCTTTATCAAACGCCATATCTCAAATACTCGTATACAACGAAAAAGGACATTTCGCTTTTCATCTATCCTTGATGTAACTTCTTGACTTTCTGCTGCCCTTCGTATAGCCCTCGATCCACTGCCGCAGCAACGGTCAGTGTACCACCGATCACAGCACATACTCCGACCAGGAAACCCGAAAATGATTTGGCTCGTACTTCGCGGTTGATGACCTTCATAGGGGAGATATCCTGTACCAGATTAGTTGATAGAAGTCCAACCGGTGGAAGCGACTCACGTAGGAAAAGAATACGCCGGGAATACCACCTCGAGCATGCAATCGTTCTTTATGCCCTTCATCTGCATCACTACCACCATCGAGGTTTCGTTTATGGCTCGTCACGCTGTATTGATGTGTCTCCACACTTCCGGATGTCCCTTGACCGAAATTCCCCAATCCGACTGAGTCATGAGAATCTCCTAGGACATTCGTAATCTGATCGTTCCGTTTCTCCCATCCGAGAGGAAGATAGACAGTGCTGACTACTTTGACGAAGTACATGTAGTTGTACTTTTTGTCATCGGTATGCTGCTCGGTACCATCGAGAGGGTTGACATGATGATTCGTCCAGACGCCTCCTACAGCAGTCAATTGTCCACGAGACTTTTCGGGAAGTGGAGGCCCAAATCGGAGCATGTGGATAATATGGCTCGGGCTGTGGTTCGAATCGTCTTTGAAGTAGTTTTCAAGATCGTGAACATGCAAGTTTCCACTGCTGAAGGATTTCCCAGGAGAGAAATGGAAGTTTCCCACCACTTTGTTGACGCGGATTGCCCCCTCGATTCGGCATCCTTCATGCAGTTGCTCGTCCAAATGTTCGGCATAGTGTTCCCGTTCGCATTGCGCAACGCCTTCCCCTCGACCAAAGGACCATTGAACTCCGGCATATGCGTCTCGAACTTCGGCACATGTGTTGCAGCACCCGTTCTTCTTCGCAGAGTCTGGCGCGGGAGCACCATAGCATTCACCACAGTAGTCGGGATCCAAGTGAGTGGCGGTATCTTCGTGGCTACAGCAAGGTCAGTTTGTATTGCGCACGGAAACAAAGTCTAGAAACTCACAGTTCCAGCGCGTTGCTCTCAATAACACTGCCACCTTCGTTCTCTGGACGGAGTCGAACTTTGTTCACTCCATGCAAAACACCCATCTGTACTTCACCGCTTACATCCATGACATCCAGCGTAAGCAATTCGCATGGAACCCTTGGGAAGGTAATGTTCATGTGTATCTCCATCTTCTCCCCTCGACCTTTATCAACGACCAGCTCGGCTTTTACGGCAACTCGTCGATAATCGCGCCATTCCCCCCAGACAAGCCAAAGCATGAGAATGAGCGAGACGATGGTCACGATCCCTCCGGAGGTCGTCCGTATCCGCGCATCTTCGACCGTTTTTGTGAAGGCATCGAGCCGTACGAAACGACTTTTCGGAGGCATGGTGACCTGGGTTGGGAGTACGTTGCACAGGCCTATCGATTCGAGGTCGAAGTGCTAAATGGCACGGAGCAATGCCAAAGCGGTTGGAGTAAAGGACTACCTGCAGACGGATCGCATCATCAAATCAGCCATTTCTTCTCGTCTTCCCAGAGTTCAACGACCTACAATTGCGATTCCGCCCAAACCAGGACTCGGGCAATGATTAATATGCGAAGAGAGCTCTTCATTGCACAAACCACAGGTCAGTCCAATGCTGAGCTGGAGCGTTGCATTAGGACGAGTTCAGGAATGAGGGGAATCCTTCGTGGTATGGAACGGTGGTGTCCAGATGTGGTGAGCACTGCTAGAGTTATGTGGATGGTCGAGACGCTGGTTGAATCGTGTCCTCCACGTTCTTGAAACGGTATGAGCAACCCAACCAATCAAAACGCGTTTCATTCGAGCCTCCACAATACTTCCGCTTTAAGCTGGTGGACATTCACCCATAGTTACCGGTACTCTTATGATACAACTGATACAGGTCACAATGGGACCATCATATTCGTACCGGTATCATATATGAGCAAATGACCCGGAATATCACTGGGGTATACACTTGAGCATTTAAATTCCGTATATTTTCTCGGGCAAGGCAGTTGTGACTACCGACCGAGGTTCAATGCCTTTGCTTCAGCTAAATGTACTCCGTAACGAGCGCATGTCACTATCAAAGCCCGGGTACTGGTACTGAAACGAATGTCAATTGTATCATCACGATATCAATTGTTGGCACTTGAAGAACCTCCACCTAGCACTGACAACGATACCAGTGCCACGCCGGTCATGAGTCGTTCCATTCATACATAACAGCATAGCAGTGCATAATCTATTCGTCAGACGGCATGAAACTAATCCTACTTGGGTTGGCCGAATTGCCGCTCATTAACCGTTTCGAATCCTCGAAATACATCTCGAGAATGAAACTGAGCAAGGGACTCCTTTTCCATCTCCCCGGACATTGGGGGCTCGGGTCGGCTTTGAGATCCGGAATATCCCGGTGGTACGAATTGAGGGGCACCGGATCCCATGGATGGGTTGAACTGCTCCGTGCAGCCCCTACCAGAAGGTCCCTTCTGGTAGACATGCTGGTTGGGAATGCCAGTCTGCCGGTGAACCGACTCGGAATAAGTTCGTGGAGGATTCATGGAAGGTGCTTCGGCCATTTCAACGTCCGGAAAATCTCCATCTTCATCCGAATCACTCGCAAGATCGGTGACGGTTACTTCGGGGGCGGGAACTCCGGCGCGAGATATGGCGGTTTGAGCGAGCGATGGTTTTTCCGCAAGATTCGAGAGCACAGTACGAGATGCGTCGAGCATCCGGACTGCCCCTTCGAGGAACCCCTCACCATCTTCTGTCAAACCGTTGGGCAAACCACCGTAAATAGCACCTTCACTGCTACCGGTTGTATGGGATGCCCGCATTCGCACCTTTCCACGGGACACGCCTAATGTCCAGCGATACTCCGCGAGACGATGCTTGTAAAACTCGGCCTCTTCGCGAGCTGGAGCGGTGGCCCAGAGAAGCGAACCAAAAGTGCCAATCAAAGTGAAATTGATTTTGGATGGAAAATACCAGAACGATTGTAGATGTTCGGGTTTGAGCCGGTTTACAAAGTCCATTGCAGAGATCAGTCTTGTTTTCGCTGCGGACCGGCAAATGTAAATCAAGTAAGGATCGATATGTGGGGATGGTCCGGGATTCATTGCCCCGGAGGATGGGGTGGTGGAGGATGGAACTGATGTCGGAGGCGTGGGCGAGGCGTTGAGGCTAGGGGACATGGAACGTGAAATCGAACTCGTTGCAGTTGGGTTGGACGTCGTGCTTATGGATGATGCGGAGGCAATCGTCGCCGGAAGGGGTAGTGTCGACAGTGACTGGACGATACGTCGATGCAGAGTGATTTCTGTGGCGAAATAAGCCAGGTGCAGAAAGCCTAGCAGAATCAGTGAGTGGCTCTGGGAATCAAGGGAGGTTGACAAACCTGTTCCGCTCAATACGCCCGGTTGATAGTTGTCCATCCGTGCTGCCGGGGGGAGTTTGGCAAACCAGTCCTTCAAGCGAATCTGGACGGGTTTCGCTCGTTCCAAGATCAATTGGGTACTTTGCAAACCAGCATCCTTGAAATCGCGTATCGCCGTCTGCGTATAGAAGGTGTCCATAATCTCACCCATGATTGCGGTCAAACCGATCATCTCGGCAAAAAGCACCTGTCCCTTTGCAGCCTCGTCGAGCTCCTCTTCTGTGATCCCCAGTTCTCCAACATCAACTGCAGTGCTGTTGCTCTCATCGAAGTCCTGGTTCGCGATAGGTTTGACGGCCCAATTGGCAGGAAATATATGACTCGGGCGGCCGTGAATCAGGCTACTCCATTTATCTTGCATATACAAGGCCCATGCAATCCGCTTTCGTAAACCCCTTTCCCAAGCCGGGACACTCCAACTGCTACAGTCGAGATGTAAGCCCAAATCTTGGCCGATCGCCACCAGTTGGGTGGTGAGAGACCAGGAATCTGCCTCGGGCCTCTGAAGCAGGAGCAATCCGGCTTGGACGGTATTTAGTTTCGGACGTGTCATTGCTGCCGCAAGGCTGCGCATCGCAATGGATTCCAGGGCAATTGTATTGGGACGAGGAAGTGATGCGAGTGTGGGATCATGAGACCACCAATTTAACGCCAAAAGATACATGCCCGCAAGAAGTGTGGGAGAGGAGGCCGGATCACCATTTAGAAGTCGCTCTAAAAAGATCCGCTTCTGAATGATTGGGAAGCTCGGATGGACGATCTCGAAATAAAGAGAGATCAATTTGCTGCCATGTGGATGCACCAGTTGTTCGACGGCGGAAAGCGCCTCGGAATCCTCGCCATATTCTTGTGAGCACTCGTCAGGTAACATAATGAAACATTCATGATCGTTCACTTTTCGTAATGTTCCCAAGTCGAATCGTGATTCATTATGGGTGTCGAATATACTCAGCGAAATGAGGGACGGGTCGAAGGGGGTGGTCTGGCCAATGTACCGACTGAACTTTCGTCGTTGCAAACCAAGGGTTTCACCAAGGAGTTTGTTGGCACCGTTTTCAAGATCGCGGTTGAGGTTTGGGGAGATGGCCACGTTTGACCCAGATTTAGAGAGATGATTGGAAAGGTATGAATGTGAGGATAGTACCTTTGGTGTGGGCGATGTATTCCTATTTTGCCGTTTACCTTCATCAGTGGATCTGATATCGAAGTTAGCATGGTCTGTAGAAGCGCCAGACTAGATGGGTGCATCCCGTCTCACCTTTTCTTGGTCTCTTCCCCGTTACTCGCATTCCCATTGGGTAACTTCCGCTTTCGAGGTAGAGGACTCTGTACGAAAGTACACTCCTGGTGGTGGAACTCACACAGTACACAGAGGATTTTCCCTTCGTGGATAACGCACCGACTCTTCCGACGACGACAGGCGTCGCAAGGTCTTTCACGGCGACTACGAATGTTCGTCGCTCCGTTGATGGTCGCGGGTTTCAGCTGAACAGCATTCTCTTTCTCCCTTGACATATGCGACGGCCGGTTGGATTGTGTCTGGGATGAGACCGGCGATGGTCGAATATGAGGGGATGAAATCGGTAGTACTGGACTGGGGCCAGAAATTGGGCGTTGCATGGCCACGACAGCCATGATATCCCACTCGATCGGAATCGTTCTTCAGCGGAGACAGCGAAGCTCTTTTTCGCAGATCTCTAGGTGGTATCGATACTCAATTCTTGGACAACTTTGATTAGTCCAAGATAAGGCTGTGTGCAGCAGCGAATCAGCTTCAGGCCGGAGCTGCCAAAGCTACTGGGTAGTCGATGATTGCCAGGTTAGTCCCTCCAACGAAGTGGGAGAATCCCGCAGTATTGAGACTGCATAAGGCACAATACGTCAACACCGTTATTGGTTCCAATTGGGAAGAAGGAATTGAGGGGGGTGTAGAAATCGTACATATTTGGAGTACAGGTACCGGTACTTTTGACTCTTCAAACCCGATGTGACTAGAGAACGAACGTATTGATGGCTTGGCCGCTTGACCGCTCTCGGTATGGCAACTGAGATGTACAGGCGAGAGGACCAAAAGACATGAACAACCCACTTGGGGTAACTCAAAAGCAACAGTCAAGCTCGACCATATAAACTTCCCCCCAGGGATTGGAGGAGAATGATGTAGAGAGTGGTTCGCTCTGTCATTGGAGCGATTCTCAAAACCAAGACTAGAGATGCAACCAGACAGCCCAAACAGACTGCAAGATATATCCCGAGTAAGGTCCGTAATACAATCTGAGTGTTTGGCGAATTGATAACGTAGGTCGAGACGGTACGGGGGAATAACTCTAAGCGTCTAAACAGGTTGACAAGTGCTGAATCGGGAGAACCGGAAGAAGGCTGCAGAATGATAGAATGCAGGTTACAGCACGAACTAACAGATTCGAGAGCACCCGACTTGATCGGAGCAACGGACGAGGGCGAAAAGCAGGCCGGATTGCAGGATATTGGGAGTAAGGAAAAAGAAGTGAGATGATGTCGAAACGAGAATGCAGTTGAAATTATTAATACGTGATAGCTACCCGGAAGATTCCCATGAACACATGAAGCCGTTCCGTTTAAGGATGAGACGCGGTTGAATTAGGAGACGGAGGTTGAGGGCCGGGGGGAAGGAGCGTCTGTCCGATGCATGCTTAGTTCTTAGGTAATGAGAAATTGGCGATTTGGATCTGATTGGCCGTTTCCTAAAGGATTCCATGTCCCATCAACGCCAGAGACGCCCCAGACGCGATTGGGACTTGGGGGGCCAACGTCAATAGATAAATGATTCTTGTCTGATTGGTCGGATGACAGTATCTCAATATCTTCCAGATAATGCATGATAATAGAAAGTACGGTACGGTAAGGAATCCTGCTGTCACAGGTGAGACAAGACGATAATAGGACAAATGAAGACATTCTGCATATTGATGCTACTGCTAAGGTAGGGTGATTGAACCTCCTGAAAAAACCTATGTCGTCACTTGTCACTCTGTGTCATCACGGGCCTTGGTGCCAAAATGTGCTTCTCATTGTAACATTCAATAGCATCCTCCATAGTCCACAGATTTGCTAGACCCGCACGGTAGATTCTCGAATCTCGACAAACGACAGTGTACAACAAAATTGGAGAATTGTCAGGACCACAACTGATAAGCAACTGAAGCTATTCCGTACATAGTACGCTATCCATCATCCATGACCGGGTCCAGCGAGGTGCGAACAGTTCATGTTTCAACTTTCATCACCCGTACTGTCATTCTGCGCCTCTTGTATGATTGTATCAAGGCACTCGATTTAATGTGGTCGAAAATCATCAATTCTATTTGAAATACCCAATCAATCATACAAGCTGTCCCATCGGTGCAACCACGTCAATCAAGAAGAAATCAAGAAATACTTCAGCTATTAAAGCAGCGCTTTCCGAGTCTCCAGTGCCTCAAGATCTTTTTCCGTGAATGGCACATATGTCTTCTGGTTGATCGGCATCCAGTACAGCTTGTCTCCTGATACTGCCACTTTCTTCGGGTCGATGCCATCTGCCCTTAACGGTCCTTTCTGAAGTTTCATAGTCCCCGTGTAGGCAAGTTCTTCGGTGACTCGCAGGAAAATGGGGACCGCATATTTTGGCAATTGACCAAGGACATGTGTCGCCAGACTTTGGAAATCGAACTGGGCTAGGCTCACCCCTTGAGCCAACACCACCGCTGCACATCCTGCTCTTCCATCCGTATGGGGGACGTTGACACCATAGACATTCGTTTCGGCGATCTGATCGAACTTTCCAACCACATCAGACACTTCATTGGTCGAGACGTTCTCGGACTTCCAACGGAAGGTATCTCCAAGTCGGTCGACGAAGAAAACCCGGCCATCGGAATCGCGTCGCAGCAAATCCCCCGCTCGGAACCACCTATTGCAGATCAGTAGAGTTCCAGACGTTCAGTTACGGGCACTTACAGGTCTCCTTTCTTAAACACGTTGTAAATCTTTCGCTTATCGCCCGCTCCCCGATTCTTATAGTATCCGTGGAAGGCCGCATCGGGGTTTTCGGGATCTAGGCGATGGAGTGCTTCACCTGGCTCTCCGGTTTTGCATGGAATGGCCCATCCATCCTTATTTCGCAGAATTTCTTGCGTATCAATATCGATCTTGACAAACACTTCGTTGCTCCCATTGTAATAGTCCCAGAGCAGACCACGCAGTCCAATGGCATTCTGCGTTAACGGGCCATAATTTCGGTTGAAGGTGGATCCCAACCCATCTGTCGCGGCGTACAGCTCATTGATGCAAGGAATCCCGAATCGTTCCCGGAAAGGTCCCCAAACATCAGGTCTCATCCCATTGCCCCAAGCCATGTGGACGTTGTGAGCCTTGTCGAGAGGGCTCGGATCTCCGTTCAGCAAGTACCGACAGAGCTCTCCAACATATTGGATGACGTTGGCCTTACTCGCTCGGACATCGGGCCAGAAGGTCTTGTGGGAGAACTTGCGCCCTAAGACGATGGCACTGCCAGCATGGACCGAAGGGGTCACACAAAGGCCATGCGCTGCACCATGGTACAACGGCATGCAAGTGTACATTCGGTCTCCGGGCTTTAGCCTCAAATAGCCGGAAATACCGTGGCCGGTCAACAACTCTCGTCCCGTCATCATGAGAACAGCCTTAGGAAGCCCGGTCGTCCCTGACGTATAAATCAGAGAGCGGACGTCCGCAGGGTCCAAACACGTTCGTCGAGAAAGCGGCAATGGAGTCGTATTGGGCAATGTGAAAGGAAAATCCGGCCCATAGGTCAGGATTTGAACATTCAGATCTGACAACTCCTTCGCACACGGCTCAACAAGGTTCATGACATCTCGGTCGCAGATGAGAAAGCGGGACTCGCACAACTAATTCTCATTAGCCGAAAGACCCTTTGCAAGCATGCCTGTTCGACTCACCTCAACGCAATGTACCAAGCTCTTACTCGTAAGATTGCAGTTGATGAAACTGGGAACGGCTCCGATACCATCCAAAGCGAACCAAAGCATCATATACTCGGGAGTATTGCCGCCATCAATAGCAACAATCTCCTTAGCCTTGACACCAAGATCATTCATCAGCCAATTGCCAAGTCGAGTGACTCCATCTAGGAATCCGCGCCATGTGTATTCACGGCCTTCGAAGATCAAGAATACTTCATCGGGCCGATTCACAGTGGCTTGCTCGTGGAAAACATCATATGTCGTCATTTTCTTCGCCGCAATCATGGACTCCATATACTTGAGAGCACTGTTAGGAGTATTCGCCAATGCATGCGAAGTTAGGTCGTGCCACAAATGATATTTTGCATTCAGGTAAGCAGAGGCGGCGGCGCCGCCTGCGAGTGCGAGAGGTACTGATGTCCATTGTGTCAGTCATATTCAATGGAGAAGATTTTCTTTCGGTGGTGGCATCGCTTGGGCTCGAAGACTCGGAAGACGCTGAAGTTGAAGTTGAGGATGGGAATAAGATGGGAATAAGAACTTATAACCGAGTGCGGGGTGCGGGGATCAACTTACACGCCATGACAATCACAGGTACTGATCCAAGAATTCGGGGATAGATAAATGGAGGGAAATCTTAGCAGTTCAATGACAAAGTACTCACTGACAGTTGATAAAGGTATTCCATTTGAAAACTTGTACCAAATCTCAAAAGTCGTGAACGCTTACCCGCGGGGTTGCTATGGAGGTCGGTTGAGTTTGCGGGGATCCTCGGTGCACGCAGTTCTCTGGGAAAACGGCAATTCTTCGTCTCCACTCCCCACAAGCAGCCCGATCTCGAAGCCGATACGGCAGGTTGTATTCGGTACTTGTCGGTATCTTTATTCGCGCCCGTTATATTGAAGTTTAGACGTGCGGGTTCCCAGCCCTCCAAGTGTCTCACCAGACGAGGATACTGATTCTCCTAGCTACATGTTTTCCAATAAATATTGAATTCCGGCATAGGACTCAATTGCTGTGGGACGAATTTGATTAGCTGGCAGAAGAAACCCATAGTTACCAGTATCCCTCAACTCTGCCGTGAATGCGAATGTCGTATTAGCGACGGCGTCCATGTAGTCCACACTTCCCCCGGAAACCTGATAGATTTTTGGACAGATCCGGCCCCCGTCGTATTGTTGTCCGCCTGCGGTTTTAACAGCAGCGGTCGCACCTTCAATCAGTTGTTGGTAGCGAAAGTCGTTCTGGGGGAAGACATCGCAAGAATACCCAAAAGGAGTCATCCATAGTTGGGCATATGCATGCCAATCCATGTACATCTGGATGCCGGTGGTATCACGTAGCTGAGTTGCGAATGATACCAATGCCTTCGTCTCAGGTGCAGAGTTTGCAGCAGTACCTCTATAATCTTGAGCGCAAGGGTCCGTAGATGCTCCATTCTGAACGTTCCACTGGAATGGCCAGTTTCGGTTGATATCGATTCCCTGACAAAAGGAGGACGAAACTGGCATACGGTTTTTCCTCCACATGCGCTCGTTGGTTTGACTGTACACGAAACCTGTAACGTTAGTATCAAGCGCCAAAGTCAAACACTGTAGCTTACCGTCTGGGTTCGAGAATGGGAACACATAAAAGTCATATTTGTCAAGCCAGCTCTTGACCTTCGCATCCGAGGAGTACATGGTGAGGAGATCGTAGGCAATATACTCATTTACCTACCAAATTGTTAGATAATCGTTGAGACGAAGCCTTGGCGCATACCATGGTCGTCACCCATTCCCGTGCGTGAACCGTTGACTGCATGATGATAGCTGGTTTTCCTTTGGACTGACCCCAGAAATGGATAGCAGTGATATCACGTCCCTCATACGTCTTCCCGGCAGAAAGAATCTCAGCCTTATCCGGGAACTGCGCAGCCAGGTCCGTCAAAAATGCAATATGATCGTTGTAGTTGTGATAGTTGTCGAAATAGGAATTCGACGAGACATCAGGAAGGGCATCGAGAGCGACCTTTGCTAAATGGGAATCAGTAGTTGACCGTTTACCGTGAGAGGTTGCAGCTTTACCATTGTAACGACCAGGCTGCTCTTCTTCTGCAATGGCATCAGCAACGTTGCCGACGAACACGGTCGTATCATATCCCAAGCTAAGGAACTCGTCCATCTGATCCGGAGCGACCATCACATCCACAAAAGGCTCTCCAATATTGTTAACATGCCACTCATCCAAGCCCATCTCGTGAAGTTTACTTTGCATTTCTGCAAAGTTTTCCCTGCTCTTCACGCGAAACACTTTGTGTTCATCATAGCTGACCTTGCCTGGCTTTGCCGCGAGAGGCGTCGCCACCGACGACGCCAACAAGACCGAGAGCAAGAAAATCGATTTCATGTTGAAGAATTGCAACCGCTCGAGAATCTTGAATGGCTAGTACGAAACCCGAGTCAATGGCCAAGTCCAAGGCTTGAGCAGCCAACAGGGTCTTGAAGTATCAGAATAATTGCATAGATGAATCAAAGCAAGAGCCTCATCAAATTAGATCGAACCTGTGCGGCGTTGAAGCAGACTTTAATATAAGATTGAGCAGACAGTAGAAGGTAGCGATTAGACAATCTTGATTATGATTTTCTTCCACATTATGACCAATTTGGCAGGTCTTGGGGTAGATGCAGGAAACGTAAATTTCCACCAGACAGTTGGTGCAAGGCAAACTCGACCTTCCAAAAGCGCTACGGCTCCGATGGGATCCCATGCCTTAACGGTTGGGGATCATCCAGCATAGGAAATCCTGTACTCGTTTGTGATGGAATAATTGGATTAGATCAAACGACTTGCAGAACAGACAAACAACCAGTGTCACTGCCTCAAGGTTACCATCTCTAGACCGTCAACGATACAAAATGGAAAACTGGGAACAATAATATGCCGAGACTTCGTCGAGATGCCGTGATACGGTTGAGAAAGATCATCCGGATGGCTGGACGCGTAGGAGTCAGTCACAGCGATCAAAACTGGGAATGGATGATAGTTCGCATTGCTGCGAGCGTCAAGTTGATAATGCTACATGGCAAAGGCATCACTGGGTGGGATTTGATGGCACTAAATGTTAGATGACAGTGTTATTATTGAAGAGTGCCATATTGACTTGGGCCGTTGCTGGATTGTTTCTGTTTAAGTTCATGCTCAGCAGTGAGCATTGGAGATTGATGAATCTTGAGTGAAGGGGACATACAACTGGCGCACGTGACATTGAACTCGTTATTCGAATTTTAGCCTTGATGCCTTACGGCCCACCTCTGCCTTGGCGCACTGCACGTGACTCACCCACACTTTCAAACTTCATCAAGTCCATCTTGAAATCATATGCGAATCACCAAAGCATGTTGCGCCTGTTGCGACAGCACACTGATACCCAATTCCATCTTCATCGAGCTGCAGAGAGCAGTCCACCTATTTCTGGTGCCTTTTTCCTTTTCATTCGCGTCTCTTTATTTCGAGTTTAGACGCGTTTCACGATTCGACGACCAAGAAACTGGGAGTGAATCCCAACCCACCACCCGACTTCCTGCCTAATATCCGCGAAACGCCATAATCAGGTCGTCGATATATCATTCAATATGGCGGACCAAAAGAAAGACAACCCGTTGGCGCAGTTCAAGTATTCGGCCATGTCGAATCTTGTTCTGCAGGCCGATAAAAGATTTGTGACAAGGCGTGGCGATGAGAATACGGGAGACCCCGAGTCGCTTGCCGGACGCCTCAATATCCGGGATATGGGCTCGAGAACCGCACGAGAAAGCGCACCGATGCTGAAAAAGCCACGAGGAGGTGTCGATGTGGAGCGGGGCAGCATTCGGGAAGGTCAAGACGTCCTAGAAAAGCAACAGAAGAAACGAAAGCGAGATGGACAACAGTCCAAAGGCGCGGGAATCTTGTCACAACATGATCTCCTTGTTGAAGACCTCAAATACCGACCTCGTACCACCGCAACTCAGGCCACTTACGACTTGATCACGACGATTGTAGGCAGGCATCTTGGTGATGTCCCGAGTCACGTCACTCGTAGTGCCGCGGATGCTGTCCTGGAGTATTTGAAAGACGAGGCATTGAAGGATTTTGACAAAAAGAAGGAAATCGACGATATACTTGGCGTCACTATGGGCTCGAAGGAGTTTAATGAGCTAGTCAATCTTGGGAAGAAAATCACCGACTACGATGCACAAGACGAAGACGAGGATATGGAGGATGCGGGTGAGGCCGAGGAAGGGGGAGATTTGGACGAACGGCAAGGCGTAGCCGTGGTCTTCGATGATGACGAGGAAACGGAAGAAACACAAGCCTTTGAAGTCCATGACGGGGATGAATCTGAAGCCGAGGACGTCACTGGTGAGGTCCCTGAGGAGACAATTGGAGGTGCCGAAGCTCCGGAAGAGACTGGCGAGGGCGATGAGATGGAGATCGGGGAAACGGTCATCACAACCGGCGGACGAGGCCGCGACCGAACACATGACCGATCTATTCCAGTACACGAAATCGACGCATACTGGCTTCAACGGCAAATCGGTCAAGTCTACGAAGACGCCCACGTCCAGCAAGAGAAAACAGCAGAGGCATTCAACATCCTTGCCGGTCAATCGGATGATGGTGAGGAGAAGGCTGCGCGAGAAATCGAGAACGACTTGATGGAACTCTTCGACTATGAGCATCACGAGCTCGTAGCTAAACTTTTCATCAACCGTGATCGGATCGTATGGGTTACCAAGTGGCGACGAGCAGCGGACCGAGACGAGCAAACTGCAGTCGAACGGGAAATGATCGCATCTGGTCACCGAAAAATCCTATCTGAAATTCGAGCTCGAGAAGGCGACGCTTTAGTTGATGAGCCTAGCAAAATCAAGATGGATCTCATGGAAGTCGACGTTCCGGAGACCAAGGGCAAGACCGTAGCCCAGCCTACGGAAGAGGGGTTGGTTGGTGGGTTGCAACCGAAACGACTCATCAACCTGGAGAATCTGGTTTTCGATCAAGGAAATCACCTCATGACCAATCCCTCAGTGAAGCTCCCCAAAGGAACCACCAAGCGCACATTCAAAGGCTACGAGGAGATCCATGTCCCTGCACCACTGCCCCGTAAAGACGCCAGCGACTTCCCTGACATGCCCACGTCGGAAATGCCAGCTTGGGCTCGTCAAGGATTTGGGTCGGCTTCCAAACTCAATCGAATCCAAACCAAGTGCTTCCCCGTCGCATTTGAAGGGGATGAGAACATGCTGATCTGCGCCCCGACAGGTTCAGGGAAAACGAATGTCGCAATGCTTGCTATCCTTCGGGAAATCGGAAAACATTTGAACCCGACCACCGGAGAGATCGATTACGACGCGTTCAAAATCATCTACATCGCTCCGCTCAAGGCTTTGGTGCAAGAACAAGTTGGCAACTTTGGCAAGCGGCTCGAACCACTCGGGATTCGCGTTGCAGAGCTTACTGGAGATCGCCAGCTCACGAAGCAACAAATCGTGGACACACAAATCATTGTCACTACTCCTGAAAAATGGGATGTCATCACACGAAAGGCAACCGATACGAGCTACACGAATCTGGTTCGTCTCATCTGCATCGATGAGATCCATCTTCTTCACGATGATCGTGGACCCGTCCTTGAAAGCATCGTCAGCCGGACTATCCGCCGGTCTGAACAGACGGGTGACAATGTGCGCTTGGTCGGGTTGAGCGCCACATTACCCAACTTCCGTGATGTTGCGGCATTTCTCCGAGTCGATCCTAAGCAAGGGATGTTCCATTTCGATGCGACCTACCGTCCGACCCCGTTGAAACAAGAGTACATTGGTGTCAGCGACAAGAAAGCGATTAAGCAGTTGAAAACCATGAACGATGTCTGCTACACCAAGGTGCTGGAACAAGTGGGAGCCCAACGCAACCAAATGCTCATTTTCGTCCACTCGCGAAAAGAGACGGCAAAGACGGCGAAATACATTCGAGATAAGGCCATGGAGCTGGACACTATCGGGCAGATTCTTCGCACGGATGCGGCGTCACGAGAAATCCTTCGTGAAGAAGCCGAAGGCGTTGCAAATGCCGATCTAAAGGATCTGATGCCATATGGGTTTGGGATTCATCATGCGGGCATGAGCCGAGCCGATCGAACATCGGTGGAAGACCTTTTCGCGGACGGTTCCATCCAAGTTCTAGTCTGCACTGCCACGTTAGCATGGGGAGTCAATCTTCCGGCTCACACCGTCATCATCAAGGGCACTCAGATCTATTCGCCGGAGAAAGGCAGCTGGGTTGAATTGAGCCCTCAAGATGTGCTGCAAATGCTTGGTCGAGCCGGTCGCCCTCAATACGACACCTTCGGGGAGGGTATCATCATCACCACCCAGACGGAGGTGCAGTACTACCTTTCTCTCCTGAATCAGCAATTGCCGATCGAATCCCAATTCATTAGCAAGCTGGCGGACAACCTCAACGCCGAAATTGTGCTTGGCACCATCCGGAATCGTGATGATGGTGTGGATTGGTTAGGTTACACGTATCTCTTTGTACGCATGCTTCGATCCCCGGGTCTCTACAGCGTCGGTGCCGACTATGAGGAGGATGAAGCCTTGGAACAAAAACGAGTGGATTTGATCCACTCTGCGGCGACGGTACTGGCGAATTCCCATCTCATTAAATACGACGCAAAGACGGGTCGGATCCAATCCACGGAGCTAGGCCGCATCGCTTCCCACTATTACATCTCGCATGCATCCATGGCCACCTACAATCAGCACCTTCAACCGTCGATTACATCTATCGAAATGTTCCGAGTGTTTTCTCTCAGCCAAGAGTTCAAGTACATCCCGGTACGGCAAGACGAAAAGCTGGAGCTCGCGAAGCTGCTTGGACGTGTGCCAATTCCGGTCAAAGAGAGCATTGATGAACCCCACGCGAAAATCAACGTTCTTCTCCAAGCTTACATTTCGCGCCTCAAGCTGGATGGATTGGCGCTCATGGCCGATCTGGTCTATGTGACACAATCAGCTGGCCGAATTCTTCGAGCGATATTCGAGATCGTGCTGAAGAAAGGGTGGGCGTCGGTTGCAAAAACTGCCCTGAGTCTCTGCAAAATGGCTGAAAAGCGAATGTGGCCGACGATGACCCCCCTTCGGCAATTCCCGAGTTGTCCGAGGGATATAATCCAGAAATCGGAACGAATTGATGTCCCTTGGACGAATTACTTCGATTTAGATCCACCTCGAATGGGAGAATTGTTGGGGATGCCAAGAGCGGGCAGGACCGTGTGCTCTCTCGTTCAAAAGTTCCCACGCCTTGAAATTGAAGCCCAAGTTCAACCCATGACAAGGACCGTCCTTCGCGTTCAATTGTCATTACGACCAAACTTTGAATGGGATGATGACGTCCATGGTCTCGCCGAGTTATTCTGGGTGCTCGTTGAGGACTGTGATGGAGAGGATATCCTCTTTCACGACCAGTTCCTCCTTCGAAAGGATTATGCCACGGCCGACACGAATGAGCACATCATGGAATTCACGGTCCCAATCGCCGAGCCGTTGCCGCCCAATTACTTCATCAGCGTCATCTCCGATAGATGGATGCATGCCGAAACACGTATTGTTGTATCTTTCCAACAGCTGCAACTTCCGGCCAAGTTCCCGTCTCATACCCAACTGCTTGACCTTCAACCGCTCCCCGTTGCGGCTCTAAAGCGTCCGGACTACCAGAAACTTTATGCTCACTGGGGACGGTTCAACAAGATTCAAACGCAAGTCTTCAATGCGTTATTTTCGTCCGATGAGAATGTCCTCGTGGGCTCCGCTGCCGGAACTGGCAAGACAGCATGCGCGGAGTTTGCTCTCCTACGGCACTGGATGAAGGCGGATGACAGCGCCACTCCAAAAGCGGTGTACGTTGCTCCGTTCCAGGAATTGATCGACATTCGACACAAAGACTGGCAGTCACGATTGGCATCGGTCCCCAACGAGAAAGAGATTGTGAAGCTCACTGGCGATGTGACGGCGGATTTGCGTCTTCTGGAGAAAGGTGACCTGATCCTTGCAACACCAGCGCAGTGGGATCTGATATCGAGATCGTGGCAGCGTCGAAAGAACGTTCAACGAGTCACACTCTTCATCGCGGACGATCTTCATATGATCGGTGGTCAGAACGGACATATATACGAGAGCGTGGTCTCCCGTATGCATGCGATGTCGCTGCAACTCGAGTCAGGGCTGCGAATTGTGGGTTTGAGCGTATCTCTGGCTAACGCACGCGATGTGGGAGAGTGGATCGGAGCGAACAAGCACACGATCTTCAACTTCAGCCCTCAAGTTCGCGCTGTGCCTCTCGAACTTCACATTCAATCGTTCACGATCCCACACTTTCCATCCTTAATGCTGGCCATGGTGAAACCGACATACAACGCAATCCTACAATTGTCCACCGACAAGCCCACCATGGTCTTCGTCCCCAATCGGAGACAAGCACGAGCAACTGCAGCCGACTTGCTGAGCTGCTGTGTTGCCGAAGATGAGGAAGATCGGTTTTTGTACGCTCCTCAAGAGCAGCTGGCGCCAATCCTGGAAAAGATTAACGAAAGATACCTGGCTGAATCGTTGTCTCATGGCATCGGCTACTTCCATGAAGCCCTCACTGATTTTGATAAAAAGGCAGTGGAACATCTTTTCCGAGTTGGGGCCATACAGGTCATGCTCGTTTCCCGAGATTCGTGCTGGGAAATTAATTCTACCAGCCACCTTGTCATCGTCATGGGCACCCAATTCTACGATGGTCGAGAGCATCGATACGTGGACTATCCGCTCAGTGAAGTACTCCAGATGTTTGGAAAAGCCGGACGGCCGGACATGGACAAGAGCTGTAAGGGTGTCCTCTTCGTCCCCCAAGTCAAACGAGAGTACTACAAGAAATTCTTGAACGATGCGTTACCGGTCGAGAGTTATCTTCAAGGGGAGATGGCGGATACATTTATCGCTGAAATCAGCGCGCGTGTGATCTCATCCACTCAGGATGCCGTCGATTGGACCACCTACACGTACTTCTACCGCCGTTTGCTCGCCAATCCAAGCTTCTACGGCCTCACCGACACATCTCATGAAGGCTTGAGTTCCCACCTCTCGGAACTAGTTGAGACAACGCTGAAAGAGTTGGAAGAAGCGAAAATGATCACCATCGAGGAGGATGAGGAAGGCGAAGATTCCATCGAACCGCTCAACCCCGCCATCATCGCTTCTTACTATAACATCTCCTTCGTCACCATGCAGACATTCTTGTTGTCGCTAAATGCGAAGACCAAACTAAAAGGCATCGTCGAGATCGTCACATCGGCTACAGAATTCGAGGACATTCAGATCCGACGACACGAGGACCACGTTCTTCGCCGGATCTACGATCGACTCCCGTACAAAATGGCGGAAGCCAGCTACGAATCGCCTCATTTCAAGGCCTTTGTTCTGGTCCAGGCACACCTGTCACGGATGGAGCTGCCGATCGATCTAGCGAAAGATCAAGAAGTCATCCTGTGCAAGATTCTCGGTCTCTTGAGTGCGTGTGTGGACGTTCTTTCCTCCGAAAGCCATATGAATTGTATCCAAGCAATGGAGCTCTCCCAAATGATCGTTCAAGCCACCTGGCACGACGGTCCTCTCAAGCAAATACCACACTTTGACGAGCGTGCGATCCAAGTCGCCAATGATGCAGGAGTCCACGATGTCATGCAGTTTATGGACTACATGGATCCAGATGAGAATCCGAACTATGAGGTCTTTGTGAAGAAACTCGGTTTCAACCGACAGCAGCTACAGGATGCTGCGAACTTCACGAATACCTCGTATCCTAGCATCGATATTGCCATGAAGGTGGAAGATCCGGATTCCGTCGCTGCCGGTGAGCCATCAGTTTTGAGTGTCACATTGGAGCGCCAGATCGATGAAGACGAGGTTCCGAACACGAAGGTGCATGCGCCCTTCTATCCGGGAGAAAAGATTGAGAACTGGTGGCTTGTTGTAGCCAACGAGAAGACGCAGAGTTCTTATGGCATCAAGCGGATCACGATAGAACGCAAGCTTCGCACCAAGCTTGAATTTACCGTGCCGGAACCGGGTCCAGTCGAGCTGACACTGTATCTCATCTGCGACAGCTACATTGGCGTTGATCAGGCCCCAACCTTCAAGGTGAATGTCGGCGAAGCGATGGATGAAGATGAAGAGGAAGATAGTGATGAGGAGTGAAGGAGTCAGAAGGACTGGCGCAGGGAAAAGTTAATGTACAAATACGTGCCAGGATAGACCGTCTGAATGATAAATCATGGATCAATTGCTCTGTTCCCGTACAATGTATGATATAACATTTTGGTCACATATTCAGATGGTAGTTTAAGTACGAATTCCATGCATGAGTCAGTAGGGCTTGTTAGCATCATTGGCTGGTCAACGCAATTAATACCAATTATTATTTAATACCGGAACATACTACACATCAAGTGCGTCACCTCTGGTCTCGCCCTCATCAATCATGTATCAAGCTCATTATTCAACCACGAGCCATGTCATACATTGTCCCAACCCACAGCATGGTCCAGATCTTAACACCTACCCAAAGTTAACTCCTCTTTGTTTTAGAATCATCAAACTGATTTCTTGTTCCCTGTACCACGTCACACCAATCACCCATGGACGTGCGAACTCAGGTGTGTTCATGGTTTTCGAGGGCATAATCTCGTCCGTCAATTGACAAGACCGCTTTCCAGGGCTATCGACACGGTCAACGTCCTTTCGACTAGAGAAGTCATCCATTCTCTGTGCCAATCCATAGTACTCGAACCAACGGCAGCACAATGGTGGGACTGTGGCAGAGTCCTCATTCACGATCGCACCCGAAACCGTCCTCCCAGTCCTCTTCCTCTCCATCCACGCCGGGGAAGCGAAATCGTCTACATCACCGAATGTCGTTCCAAGAATTTCCAACAGTGCGCATGGTCAGTGATGGGCCGCCTTCGCCAGAGATAAAAACGCGACATAGAAATAGTCTCTCGGTCTCAGGACATTCTCATGAACGGAATGGTGGATCGATCGGCAATAGCGAAAAGCCAGCTTTCCCCTTACCGATACGTGAAGGCTTACCCACGATACCGACCACATCACCTATCATCCTCAGAGACATAGCTGGCGGTTCTCCACCCAGGGATCCTGCGTCTACGAATACTTTTCTTTCGAGCGATCACAACTCACTCTCATCCCCGAAATCCTCTTCATCAAGAGACTCCCCAATCATCAGTGATTCAACCCGACGTCTAAGCATCAAGAACACCCCCGAAGGTGCTCCATCTTCGCCAGTTCTTAGTAACGGAGTTAGTACTTCACGGACCTTCGGCGCCATAATATCACCACCCACTATAACGGAATCGACGCGGTCATCTCACATCATATCACGTTTGACATCGGAAGTTGAAGGACTTCGTCGCAACCTGAATTCTGTACAAGCGCGGCACGATGAATCACAGCGGAACTTATCCACCGCCCGCCAGGTCATCCAATCGCTGCGGGCTGAGAATGAGAATCTGGTACACATGAGAGAAACAGAGACAAAGATGCTGGGACGGAGAGATAGAAAGATCGGGGAGATGAAAGAGCAGCTGGAACATGAAATTGCACGACGCATCAAAGCTGAGGATGCCGTACAAGACCTAGGTACACAGCTCAACGAAACAAGGCAGAGTTCGCACAAGGAGGTCGCCGACGCCAAGGAAGCTCGCGCACATGCTGATGCACAGTATGCTGCAGTCACCAGTGGCTTCGATGGGTTGCGGCGTGAGGTAGAACGGCTCCGTCAAAGACTGGAGGAGGCGCGGGCTGAGAATGCCAAGGATGCCGAGAAGTTGGACATGTTGGAGATGGTCCATGAGATGCAGGCGACAGCCATCCAACGACATGAAGAGATTGCAAAGAGAATGGACATGGTGGTGAAGAACTACGGACAAGCATCCGACGTTTGTCAAGAGAAGATGGAGGGGCTTGAGCTCATCCAGCAGGAAATGGAAGAAACTCGAGATCGAATGCGGTGGGTAATGCGCGTGCAGGGGAGTCGGAGCCCAGAGCAGTTGAGTGCATGAACTGAGTCGAAAGCTTTTTCACAGCATGTGGAGAATCCGGATCGAATACCTGGTTCCGAAATATTATTGGGACGAGCAACGCGTCCTATGGTAATGACATGCATGGAGGCGTTGATAGGGAACTTGGGGGCATAGATACCAATACGGGCAGACTCAACGACTACAGGTAAATGCCAAACGAGCATTATGCCACGATTTCGGCAACTGCCAGCCTCATACAGAGCTAATGGCTTGTAGGCTTTCTTATGAAATCCGATAATTATATTCCAGTTAGCAATAGTTGGAAATGGTCCAAGTTAACGCTCCACTGAGTAGTTCTATTCCCAGTAGAAGATGCATCATGGACACCACCACTGAACTCAATCGTTTTCATCATCCCTTCCTTCAAGTTACATGGAGGCCCAACGAGTGAACATAAGGCGAATACAGTTCTCCTTTTCCGTAGGCTGGAGGACGTCAAAGCTGAAAGAAGACTGAGGGAGGCCGGGGCTAAGAGAGGACCGGGAACCACGATGTGTATAGGCGGACCGCGGATGGGGTTTGCATGAGAGATTACCAAGGACGAGGCGCATACCAATCGTGCCTTCATTGAGCCTTTGACTTAATTGTGGTCTGTCGAATTGGTAGGTTGGATTGTTGAAGGGGCTTCCGTTGAAAGTTTCCAAAAGACTGAAAAGGGAGGGTATAGGAGGGAAGGTATGGAAGGGAATGTGTAGGAGGGTATCATGTTCCGGGGTCTAATCTTCCAGTGTCCTGGATGAAATGTAGCGTTACCGTAACTACCTCTATGTTCGGGGACCAGCGCTTAATCGGGCCGTCTTTTACTTCTGATTCGTATGCTCTAAGGAGGTAAGAGACAGGTCGTCCTAATGAATGTCCGTACACAGGGAGCGGTGAAGCCTGCATGTACATTTCTGCAATAAGAAATGAGCATGTCAGAATATTATTCTCGCGATCTGGTAGATTGTAGTCGAGATTATGTCTCCTGAATCGCGTTCGAATTCACAGAACCTTCGACCAACTTGCGGTTAGAGTGAGATTTGCGGTGGCGTCTTGTGACAGGTTGCATGTCGGCATATGAAATCTGCTTAGCAAACTGGATACTGGATAGAAGTCTAAGACACCAGATCGATTCTTAAGGGAGCAAGTGAAGAAAAATATCCTGTGGCGTGAGGATCACACCTCCATCCAGATTATTCCCACAAGACCCTGGAAGATTCTTTTGACTCCAAATACACCCTATTGTTTCCCCCTCCATATTAAATATCCTGCAGCATTGCCAACTCCAGGCAATTGTATACATGTTCACGAGACAGATTGCCCATCCAATCTCAAAAAATGAAGCGTGAGAGAGATTCCACCGACGCCGATCCAAATGCGACAATCAAAAAGCGCCAGACCTGTGCTACCCCGAAGCAGGACTTCCGGGATGACCTTTTCGACGCCCAGACATTGAAATCATATCAGGATAGCTACGCCAATTCCCAGCCGTATATTCCCCATTCTACTACTTTTACAGCCATATACTGATTTGATCGTAGCTACAAGCATGGCGTCCTTTCCAACCTCGTGCAACCTACACTTCTCCGCCAAGTGCGAGACGAAATTCGCAATCAGATCTCGTTCACTCCCAAAGAAACCGACATTTACAAGATCCACCAATCTGGTGACCTGGCAAATTTGGACGGACTCGATGACGGTTCCTTGAAGGATCTCCCCGCCCTCTTGAAGCTTCGCGATGCGTTATACTCCCCGGACTTCCGCAATTTCATCTCGAGCATTTCTCAATCGGGGCCATTGAGTGGCGCAAAGACGGACATGGCAATCAACGTATATACTCCAGGATGTCATCTCCTATGTCATGACGATGTTATCGGCACGAGGCGAGTCAGCTATATCCTGTACCTGACGGATCCAGACCAACCATGGAAGCCTGAATGGGGCGGCGCACTACGGTTATATCCCACCCATAAGGAGAAGCGTGAGGACGGAAGTCAAGTGAAGATACCCGACCCAGAGTTCGACGTGGTCATCCCTCCCGCCTTCAACCAGCTGTCCTTCTTTGCAGTTCAACCGGGTGAAAGCTTCCATGACGTGGAGGAAGTGTACTTTGCCGATTCCGAAACCTCGGAAGACGATGGCGGTCGAGTTCGGATGGCAATCAGTGGATGGTTCCATATCCCTCAGCCTGGAGAGGAAGGATTCGAAGAAGGGCTTGAACAACGTCTAGCGGAAAAGAGTTCTCTCGCTCAACTGCAGGGCAACGCCAGCGAATTCGACCTACCTCAACCTGCGTGGACAAGTTTGGATGCGAAGGAAGAGACTCTTGTGGAAGAAGATGATGAGGAACTGAGCGAGGAAAATTGCGAATTCCTGGTGAAGTACCTCAAAGCCGATTACTTGGTTCCTGAAACGGTGGAGGAACTGAACTCCATGTTCGTGGATGAGTCTTCTCTTCGGGTCGGTCAATTCCTGTGCCCAGCTTTTGAGTCTCGTCTACGGACGTGGGTCGAAAAACGGGATGGATATAGCTCTGGCCAGCGAGCGGGTGATTTGAACCATTTCAACCTCTCTCGCCCGCCACATAAACATCGGTATCTCTATCGTCAACCATCACAGAGCAGCGGGCAAGATACCGACGCGCCATTGGACGAGCTTGTCAATCATCTCTTCCCGTCTAGACACTTCCGCAAATGGTTAAGCCTTGTCACTGGTTTCTCTACCACGGGTCTGGATTGCCTCATCCGCAGGTTCCGACGGGGATTGGATTACACCCTGGCAACCCAATACGAGGAGGACGACCCTCAGTTGGAACTATGCTTGTCTCTCTCTCCATGGAAGCAATGGGAAGAAGAGAACGACGATGAAGACGACATGGAAGTTGAGGCTGGGGAAGACAACAATGGTACAACCCATAAGGTCAAGGATTCGGCCCAACAACCCAACGGCAAGGATAAGGATTCCAACAAACCCGAGAGTTATGGTGGGTATGAAATCTATCTGGCTGGTGACGAAGAGGAAGAAGAGCAAGACGCGGGTGAGGTGCCAACGAGCATGACTGGTGCTGGAACGAGAAAGTCTCGGCAAGACCCTGCTATTTACCGAAGCAACGATGCCGATGACGATGACGGGGTGTTATTCAGCATGCCCGCAACATGGAATCAATTAAGTATCGTTTTGAGGGATCAAGGCACCATGCGTTTCGTCAAGTATGTGAGTCAAGCTGCTGGTGGGGACCGATGGGATATCTGTGCGGATTACAAGGTGCAGGATGATGCAGATGATTAAAAAGATGTGAAAGGGCGACCTCAATGCATTAAATCTATAAACGGATCGGTGCCATTCTTGCGATGTCCCGCCAAACTCTGATCTTCGATGCCTTATATCACGACATGATCATAAGTATTTTGATTTCGCGGCCGTGCCCATGCTGTGAGCCTCCACCGTTCCACCTCGCCATATTTCCAGGAATTTGTGTCAGAGCGTCGCACACCGCTCGAACTCAGCCAGGACACGCTCATACGTCCACATCGTCACTGCACTCGCGGGTGCCGCCTTGAGGAGTCCTACAGTTAACCCTCGATATAAGCCTCGTACGCCTTCAACTTTGAGGATATTCTGCAACGTTTTCGCGACGCCGCCTTCATATAATGGGATGTTCCTGTGCACGTATCTCATACGCTCCGGCCCCTGAACCTGTAGCCTTTTACGGACAGTGTCAAGCGGGAAAACCACAGTTTTCGAGCAAACGGATGCAATCACACCGGCAACTGCATCGGGTGACCCAATGCTACTCAACGGAAGGGAGGAAGACACAAGATATGGCTGCGTGGAACCATATATTGCGAAGAAGAGGCCCATATAAGGCACCACTTGGCTGATCCCAGCCCCGATTCCCCGATAAAATCCCCCTACGCCTTCCGACGTATATATTTGATGGACGGAGCGAAGGATGGAAGGGTAAATCCGATCTTGTCCTTGGGCAGCGAATCGAGTCCGAAGAAGGTCGAGAGGGTAAGTCGCGGTGGTTGCACAGATTCCAGCGGACGCGCCTGAAACGAAAGATGTCGCGGATGAAGGCAGATCGAGCCCGGATACTAAAGCCGATGCCTGACGATAGGCGAGGAACTGGACCGCGCCATACATCAGGTAAAGGAACTCCGCAGGGACATTGCCCTTCCACAGAGCCTATCTATATCAGCAGCGGCATCCATTGTCCAGATTGGAATCCTGACCGAAACACCCTCATCTCTTAGGATGTGTTTCAGGGTTCCAAAAGCGCCCTTATACGTCGGACCTATCACGCCCCGGTGGGACAAAGGGTCGGATAGCGAATGGCTCTGCAATTGAAGTCGGATCTTGATGACATCTAGGGGGGCGACGACAAATCTGACTCGTTGTTATTTGTGCCGCAGGCTAAGGATCTGCGAGGACAATCACCTCGACAAAAGACCGGATATGGCACCAGCAATGAGAACCTGATGTCGAGGAACCTATTGAATGTCAGGACTGGATGATGTTGGTAGTAATTTCTCTTGACTTACCTCATGCTTCAGTCTCGTTGTATCCGACATACATCGAATACTGGCAGGGTTCTTTCACTAAGGTATAGCTATGGCCAACAGTAAAACAATACGGGGAGTGAGGTCGTGTTTTCCTACATCATCCAGTCCCCAATTCAAGACATGATGGACAATTGGACATTCTGTTGATGGATATCAAATGTCGTCAGGGTTTGGTCCGAACTATTTGTTTTGTCCTTATTGCCTGGTTGCCTTGGTCCAGCACCTGCACCAGCACCTGCACCAGCACCCAGATAAGACTCTGTCACGTGATGTCAGCACTGCTCTTTTGAATTTGTTTGATGTTAGAAATTCCACCTGCAGTCATATCTACAAGCCCTTACGAACAGTCATATTGATCTTGTGATTACCAGCAGTCACTAGATTGGTTTCATTGTGACAAGTGACTTCCTTTACGGAGTATTATGCCCTTAAATGGTTCCCGTCTCCTATCCAACTCCGAATATCGGACCGCGTACCCATGTTGGCGGGACAGAACGACTACGATATAGAATCCAGCATGCACACTCAGCCAATTCGACCTCAAGGCCGCAGCATTTCTCGACCGGATTACGCCGGACTTCAGCAAATGATACCGATTTCTACATCCTCCAGCCCGAACTCTGGACGAGCAAAATCTCTGTGGACCATGGTGATGTATGGCTGCATGCGTTTGCGGAGTTGAGTATCGAGCTTCTCGCTCCTACCCGACCATCGGAATTAAACAATAGCTCTCCCAGTATTATCAGACCATGAACTAATCCTGCCCCTGGAATCCCGTTCCCGAGCCTTGTTTCCCTTGTTGCATGCACTCTTTACCACGCCAATCCGTTTGGCCGAGAACTGGGAGCCGACTTTGACCGGCAGTTTTAGCGTGCATGCTTCTCAATCCTCAAACCTTTTCCGACATCCTTTCGCGGGACCCCGACGTCGGTTCACAGGGTAGAAGAAATGGAACCACCATCGCGTAAATTCCGTTTTTATGTGAACAAGCCATCGTTCTGGTTTAATCTTTCTCCAGGTAGTTCTCTCTGGCGCCATGTCTTCTATCTGGCGTCATCCATCCTCCACTCGATGCTGGCTCCTCAATTTCTCGGGCCGGTCCCTTTCCACGAGGACATATGCTTCTGTCCCCATCCCCACAAATCCACTCAGAAATGAAATCCATCGGAGTTCGAGGCAGTCTGTTCTGTCGAGTTGTCGTCGCTGGGTGCCCGTAGGCTTGTCTGGGGTGCAGCAGTCATCCTTCACGATCAGCCATGGCAAATGCTCCACCAGCATGCCAGCTTCTACTACACTTTCCGACTCCGAGTTAATTGGTATCGATGTGAATGGACACATGACTCCGTTTCATGCCATATTCTTAAGGGATTCCTGCTCTTGTGCGGCCTGTATCGACCCATCAACAAGGCAAAAGCTCTTTCAGACGGCAGATATTCCTCTAGAGCTTAGACCTCGGATCGAGCAATCTACGGACGAAACTGTTAGACTTAGCTGGGAGAATGATGTTGCAGGATTTTCGTCGGATCATGAAACAGTCATTTCGAAGGCCTTCCTGGCCGATGTACTCGCGTTGCAAACCAAGGTATTGCGAGAGAAAACCGAGGACCCTCAAACACAATTGTACTGGGATGCCGCCCAGATGGAGAAGGAGAATTCCTCCATCAGTTACCATGACTATCAATCAACCGCTGGTGGTGTCTTCGAGATAGTCGATCGGCTATGGAGATACGGACTCGCGTTCCTCAAGGATGTCCCGGATGAAGTGGACTCAATCGAGAAGATAGCCACTCGCATTGGGCCTCTCCGAAATTCGTTTTACGGGACTACTTGGGATGTACGATCCATTCCTAATTCGAAGAACATTGCCTATACGGACAAGTTTCTGGGTCTCCATATGGACTTGCTGTATATGGTCAATCCTCCGCGAATCCAGATTCTACATTCACTCCGGGCGAGGGCACCGGGGGGAGCCTCGATGTTTTCGGATTCCTTCCGTGCTGCGGAATTGCTTCAACGGTCCAACATTGCCGGTTTCCGTTCTCTGGCAACTTTCCCAGTGACGTATCATTACGACAACGACGGACAACACTACCGTTTCACAAGACCGACAGTTGAACTAGTTGGAATTACCGATGTGAATAGTCTGACGGATAGTGATCTTGCTGCCGCACGCATTGAGAGAATCAATTGGTCACCGCCTTTCCAAGGACCATTTTCCGCAGGCTTTGGCGTCCATGATTCTGCGGTGGCCTTGAAATCGTATCTGGCTGCAGCAAAGACATTCAATGAGTCGCTGAACTCGGAAGAGCACATGTACGAATATAGGCTGAAAGAGGGAGAGGCCGTGGTGTTCGACAATCGGCGCGTGTTGCATGCCAGACGGGCTTTTGATGCTCAGGGTGGTGAGAGGTGGCTTCGAGGGGGTTATGTTGATGAAGATGTGTGGAAGAGCCAAATCAGAGTTGCTGGCAAAAGAATTTCTGACAATCAAAGCTGATAAAGAGAATACGGTTTTTGAAAGGCCCGAATTATTTACTTTAGCTATTTTATGAAATATGAAAATGTCAATCCCGTAAGGATCAATTATATGGAATCGGGAAACCCCTGATCTGATTGCCACTTGCTACGATTTCAACTCATGAAAATATAAGATCCTATTAACGTCTTGGTCTCAGAAAAATTCAACTCCTTCATCACTCTTCCCACCTGCTTACGATATCATTCGCTGCAATAACACAAAGTGGAACAATTCTTGGGATTTGATGCTACATGTCCCAGCCAGCAAAGTGAGGCGCTTACTCAGTCTTGACTGCCAGCATGGCCAAGAATATCATCGTCCAGCCATCTCCACTCGGGGGACGCGGAGTATTCGCCAGCAAATCCTTCAGCCCTGGTGAAGAGCTCTTTACGGTATCTCGACCTCTATTGTCATCGCTTGATGGCATACGACTTCACGATACGTGCGTGAATTGCCTAAAATGGGATGGCGATGCGACTATTGGCGTTCAAGAGACTCCTTTAGAGTCTACTCTGAAGGCTTGCAGCGGGTGCAAAATATTCAAGTATTGCCGCAAGGTATGTGCTTTTCGAACTGAAAATTTTGAGATGCAAATGTTTCATCGCTCGCCGACTGTGGTGGATAGATAGTCAAACTGGTCCTGGAGATTACATTGTCCTTCCGTTTTGCATACGTTGATCTTCGGGTTCACGTAGAGGTGCTAACTCCGTTTCCCAGGAGTGTCAAAGAGAGCACTGGAGACTTATCCACAAGGTTCAATGTCCTTTCATCAGCAAACAAAAGAGATATCAAGATTATCCTGCCTCTGTGCGGGGCACGATGGACCTGCTCCTCATGATTCCCAATCTTCAACTCCCGCAGAAACAAGCAATCGGAGAGCTCCTCTCACATATTGAGGAGCGAAGCAAAGGGGGTGAATGGGAGACGACCCAAGTCCTTGCCGTAGCGGCTTGCAAATTCGCTAAACGGCCAGACAACGACGCGGCCTTTGCTCTATCATTATACTGCAAGGTAGGTTAGAGAATGGATAGGGGAGACACCACTGACAGAACCAGGTCATGACAAATGCCATCACCTTGGTTGGCAAAACTCTCGATCCACTGGGACTTTGCGTGGATCTTTTTGTATCCTGTATCAACCATTCCTGCGATCCGAACGTATTCTTTGTCATGGATGGCCAGGCACTCTCCGCACGCTGCCTCAAGAAGATACAGGAAGGTGATGAATTATCTATTTCATATGTGGAGCCCACCAATCCGACGATGATCAGACGTAAGGAGTTGAAAGAGAAATTCTTCTTCGACTGCAAGTGCCCAAAGTGTCTGAACGAAGGAAATACTCCCGAGGATCGATTCCAAGGCGACAGCTCGACGGATGGGCCAGCGAAGAGGGTACAAGACGAGGCCTTCAACACCCTGTTTTCTGTGAGACGTGGAAAGGTTCTTCCGGAAAAGATCATTTCGGAACTGAAGAGGGCACTCGATCTCTGCCAACGAAGCGGTTTCTTCTCAATCGAGCGGCAGCCAATACCTTCCATCTGCAGCGATCTCTACGTTGAACTCATGATGCAAGATCGTCACGACGAGTCATTTGAGCACGTATTCAAAATCTATACCGAAACCGATCCGAAATGGTATCCGAATTTTCATCCGGCACGTCTTGCCCATACCTATGTCCTAGCACGGTTGATGAAGTACTTCTGCTTCCAGCCTGGCCGCGAACCACAGGAACTAAGAGGCCATGACCTGCATCTGGTATATTACGGCCTCCTCCTTGAGATCGAGAGCAACCTCAACAAAAGCCACGGCCCGACTCATTCGTTCGCGAAAGGAGTGCGGGCGGAAATTAACATGCTTCGGGAAGAACTACAGCGCGATGCAATAGTCTCGATACATCGCGAGCTACCATCCATCATGACAGCGTTTCGTGGGCTGAAGAAGCAAATCACAAGGTGACGAGACGCAACAACCATTTCTGAAGCTAGAGTCTTTCGCAGCCTAGGAAATGATGAGATGCATGATGGGTGAGCAAATAGCAGACCGCCAGCGCAGAGCGTCGCATGAAAACGCAGTCGGAGCTAGATTTTGCTATGTGTATGGCAATTCGTTTACGGAGTACGGTATTCTGATATCCGAAAAGTGTCAGTCCGTCTTCTGTTACTTCGTAGTAGTACATAGTACTGAGTAAGAAGAGCTGCATATCAATGTGACGATTATCGGATGGCTGGTGTCGCCCAGGTCTCTGCAAAGAAAACAAACCTGATAACGCTGCCCTGGAAACCATCTACCAATGACGTCGATTGGCTTACAATCAATCACCACTTCTGCTGTCCCATGGAAACCAACCATCCGTCCGCTCAGACCTCACTCTGTTTCACCTGATTCCACACGCCAGTCCAGGTATGATTGTCCGTATGACACTCCCTGGGCGAATTGATAGGCACAAACGCTCCGTCGATGCGGCAGTGCAGATGACTCCCGCACTAAGGACGGTATGCCGACTTGGCACCATCTATCCTCGAGCCATGTTCCTATCTTAAGTTGGCCCTCTTCATCATAGAAGCATTTTACCCAAGTCCTAAGATACTTACTTGCCCGTACTCTCGAAAGTCTTCCTGTTGTTTTCCTTCCCTGACCTGCCGGGCGATTTGGTTGTGTCTCTATCTGGCCGAGTCCCCTTATTGTCGAATCAAGTTGATCGCCATGCGGAGTTCATTAGTCTCGTCGTTGTTCATATTTGTCTCGAGCGTTGTTGCCTGGGGAGATGTGGGTCATCGAACAGTTGGCTACCTTGCGGAGAAGTACTTCAGCGACGAAGGAAAAGAATTTGTACATTCCCTCCTTGCGAATGAAAACGATTGGGACATCTCCGATGCGGCTACTTGGGCCGATGTAATCAAGTATCACCGACCTTACTCAAGGGAATGGCACTATATCGGTAAGAGTCAAACCCTCATCCTGACGGCTTTGTGCTGACGCAATTCCGGTCCCGAAGATGCCAAAGATGACCCTCCACACCATTGCGACCTCCAACTCCTCCGAGATTGCCCTCAAGATGGCTGCATCATTTCCCAAATCGTCAACCAGACAAACCTGGTCCTGGACACAAGCAACAGTCACACCACTCGACGAGAAGCGCTGATGTATATTATCCACTTCATCGGAGATCTACACCAACCGCTCCACACGGAGAGGATGGCGCGCGGGGGAAACGGGATCCACACATGTTTCGACCACCGTTGCAGCCGGGAGAATCTTCATGGGATTTGGGATACCGATATCGTACACAAGCTCAACGGTCTCCGGCACTCCGAGAAACACGACACGCTGAAAGACGCGGCGGCAAAATGGGGCAGGGTGCTGTTTGATCAGGCGCAAGGCCAAAGTGCTCAAGCTGAAGAGTGCAACGATGTGAAGGAACCGGAACATTGCGCGCTTGCCTGGGGACAGGAGGCGAACGGACTTGTTTGCAGCTATGTGATGAAGCCTGGTGTCGAGTGGTTGGAGAAGAATGACCTTGGTGGGGAGTATTTTGAAGGCGCGGCTCCTATTGTCGCGGCTCAAATCAGCAGAGCCGGGACCAGGTTGGGGGCATATGTGAACGCACTCGCAGCAGAAATTGCGAAAGGAACACCGGCGATTCCAGTTGCGGGGAAACGATTCGATTTATGATCTAAGTGCAGTACTCACCATTTCCTTTCCGGGGGCATGGAAGCGGCGGTACATTTCAAGTAGAACTCCTAGATATGTGTCTCTAGCGGTTGATTGACCTGTATGCAGCAGGGTCCTATGCCACGGTCATAATTTGATGAATTCCATACCCGGACATCAGGATTTCCAATTCACATCATGTACGATACTCACTACAGATGGAATAATCAGATTGCATAATCGCGTGCAGAAAGCGCATAGGCACGTGATCACGCGACAACCCAACTTCATCGTGTTCGGCGTGTCCTATTCACAGCGTCACTGTTGCCACGCTGTTTCTCAGTTTTCTCTTATACATTTAGCTCACTCATAGACATCAGACACCAGATTCCTCTATCTCCGGTACCACAGTGCATGTATGGCTATACATAGGACTTAGCTGTTCGTTTGCGGGACCCTGCGACCCGAGGTGACAGTCCCTGTTGGATTCGAGACCACAGGTCGAATCGTCAATGTTTCGGAATCCTCGAGAGAATGCTCTTCGTCCTCCCTCAAAGCATATTCGTCCTTCCATAGGTCGACCACCTTCTCCCATGCGGGGTTTCACGCAAAGCCAACTCGATCCCTCTTCTGCTTCGGCCCCGAAATCCGCTCCATTATCCAGCCCGAGAACAACCCACATGCCTACCGTCCAACCCAAACCGACTCCATTACAAGTCCGGCCTCCCCCCAAGTCGAATCCTATGTTCAAACCCCGAGACCACTCAAAATCCAAGGTCAGGCAGAACGGCAATATTCTATCGTTCTTCAAAAAAGCCGAGGAGAAGGCGACTGCTCTCTTTGTTCCAGGGGCGTCTCGAGACGTGGATCAATCTGCCGTTCCTTCATTCGAAGATACTCCTATCCCCATCGAACGGTACAACGAATGTAATGGAAGTGTCAAAAGACGAAAGACAGGCACTGAGGGATCGACGGAGCCGAGCATCTCAGCTTCCCAAAGCACGGCTGCTGAAAGCGCTTCCGACCGGAACGTTGAGGGAGAACATAAAAATACCCCTTCAAAACGAAACGGAAGCCTTGGTTATCACAGGTCCCGTCGAGGGCCATTTGCATTAGACAGTGACAGCGAAGACGATGGATACGAGGAGGGAGGAAGCATTGGCGAGAGGGCTGAAGGCCTAATGGGGCAGAATATTGATCAGGCCGTTCCCCCACCTGGAAATTCCTGCGACGATGAATCACAGCGGGCATTCAAAAATTTACATCGCGACACTGTAAATGAGAAATATAGGAAAGATCATGTTGGCGAAATTGAAGCAGAGCTGAACGATGACGATTGGTTTGATGGCGTACCTCCTGAGGGCATACAAGAAGAATGGTCGGACATAGAACCAAAAGAGTTGAACGAGGAAGGGGATGAGGCATCAGTCTTTCCGGAGAACCTGGCATGTCCAATATGTGCTTGCAGCTTAGAACGATCTTCCCCTGAACAAGCATCCATTCATGTCAACAGCTGCCTCGACAGACCCTCAGCCGGAGAGCCGAACGAACCAAAACCCGAGTCTGATTCTAAGGATATCCCATCTCCCCGGATCGTTCGCCCTCCCAAACCGGCTCAACGAAGTCCTTTCACACCTGGACTCCTTGGGCCAAAGGATAGCTCGGCGTTCACGAAAATCATGTCCAGTCATGCTGAGAATACTGCGTGGAAAAATGCAGCCGTGGCAGAATCCGCGTCCAAAGGAAGACCTTCTTATCAGCGGACGTGTCCGTTTTACAAGATCATCCCCGGGTTCTCTATTTGCGTTGATGCGTTCCGATACGGGGCCGTACAAGGGTGCGAGGCATATTTTCTGAGCCATTTCCATAGCGACCACTACATTGGGCTGACTGCTAGTTGGAATCACGGCCCGATCTACTGCAGCAAAGTCACGGGAAACTTGGTTCGTCAACAGCTTAAAGTCAACCCGAAGTATATCATCGACTTGGAGTTCGAGAAGCGGGCAAGCGTCCCAAATACAAACGGGGTATCTGTCACCATGATACCAGCAAACCACTGTCCCGGGAGTTCTCTGTTCTTGTTTGAAAAGGTCTCCACGAAAGCCAGTCGTAGTCGAACGCAACGCATCTTGCACTGCGGCGACTTTCGAGCCTCTCGTGAACAGCTCGAACACCCTCTCCTCAGATCCGATGTCCTAGATCCGGTGTCTGGCTCGGTTCGGCAACAGAAAATTGATGTGTGCTACCTGGATACAACCTACCTGAACCCACGATACGCCTTCCCAGATCAGTCTGAAGTCATATCCGTATGCGCAGAAATGTGTGCAAGTCTTAGCAAGGAGAAAAAAGACCTCCGCGATGGCTGGGAACAAGTTAAGCGCGGAAAGGCGGACAAACGCATGGAGGCATTCATTCAAAGGAATCCACAGGAGCCTGGCCACAAACCATTACCCCGAGATGAGTCGAGAGGAAAGCTTCTCGTGGTGGTCGGAACTTACAGCATTGGAAAAGAGCGCCTGTGCGTTGGGATTGCACGGGCGCTGGGGAGTAAGATCTTTGCTCCGGCCGCGAAACGACGAATCTGTGGCTGCCTGGAAGACCCAGAGCTTTCATCGCTTCTCACCAAAGATCCTAAAGACGCTCAAGTGCATATGGTGCCTATGTTTGAGATCCGCTCAGACACGCTTGCGGAGTATATGGCCTCTCATGCGGGCACCTTTACTCGCGCCGTTGCATTTCGTCCAACAGGCTGGACATATCGACCTCCAGGTTTCCGGTCTACCGACTCTCCCACTGTCCCGAACGTACTGTTTGGAGACACTTGGAAAACGAGTTTTTCCTTGAAAGATCTAGTAGCTCAGAGAGGAAGCACTGAGAATGTCGGTTGCTTCGGCGTACCATACTCCGAGCACAGCTCGTTTAGAGAGCTGACCATTTTTTGCTGCGCATTGAATATTGACCGAATCATACCAACGGTCAATGTCGGAGATCCCAAGAGCCGGGAGCGAATGAAGGCATGGTTGGACAAGTGTGCTGCTTTCTCACAGCGAAATCCGGACTCATTTCTACGCATAGCAGAATGTATGAGCAGGGGTGGCAATGGCAACGTTTGAAAACGTTCGGAATGAAATAGCATAAACGACGTCAGCCGAATCTATGTGAATATGTACAGTGGCCAACAACTGTAGAATGTATCGTCTCCCACTAACATGCCATTGTACCTGTGCCTCATGATAACCTCTCCCGTGCGGCGGCTTCCTCTCTTGCTCGCATGTTGCTTGCAATCTTCGCATCCACCTCTCGGCTTTTTATCTCGTAATGCTCAACCAGCTTATCCAGGTTAATACCATGTCCGGCAGGGACGTTGTAGGGTGAGCCGGCATTGAAGACCCTATCAAAACCCAATTAGTTTGTTTCTCCTGAGAACCGTTGATTCGGAAATATGATGTCCCTGAGAGAGCAACGGTATCAACAATAGAAGCTAGCGGACGTACTCTGCACCGTTCAATTCACTTGGACCCCGGTACTTCGAGTTGACAATGATGTTCCTGTCCTCTCGTGCTTGCTGGATGTAGGCCGACCTCAACGCATTCGTCTCCGCCCATTTATTCTGCCAATGCCCGTATGATTCGATCCATCGCGTAATGAAGGGTTTCTCGCCGGATGCGAGAATGTTGTACAGGAGAGCTCCGGTGGGAATCGCTGCAAGCGTAACCCAAAATCCTTTCTGTCTTATTGTTAGCGATGATATACACAGGACACAATATGAGCAAGGTGCCTAAGCATACCCCGAGGGACTCGTTCACGGGCTCGGAATGATGGGATCCATGACTGTCGCCGGCGAATCGACGAGTAGTTCTTGGGAGTAGAGATCGGGTCTGTTGAAAGGCTTTCCAGCCTGAATTGGCAAGGGGTCTCATCGTTGCATTTCAAGCCAAGGATGAACGACAATCGCGACAAAGGGGATCTGTCGAGGGCAATTAATGGAAGCAATTGAGACGCACATCCAACTCATTCCCACCAGTTACAGTTCCACGAAGTTGAGGTTTGGGTGTTGCGCACGTGACGAGGGGTGAGCTTAATGCTGTCACGTGCAGATTAGATCCATGACTACTGTAGTACTGTTTAGAACATCTCCAAGTCGGAAGTCTTTACAGTTTATGGAGCACGGAATACACCGCACGGGTTTCCTCATCGGGCTTGATTTCATTTTAACCAGAAGGGTATTATGGATCATCAGAAGATGGTGGTTCTTTAGACATCCTTCTGGTCTGGTAAACTGCGTATCAATATTGACAAGATGGGAACAAGACCGAGGGAATATTACGGTAAGGTAGAGACCCGATTATTACATAATTCCACCATAGCAAGGATTATAGCGCACGTGACTCCACACGTGACGGGTCATACGCCACACAAACCGTCCAGTCACGTTCCAAAGCTGCAATTCTTTTGCTGTGAGAAATGTGACGCATCGAATCTGACGATCCAATCCCTACCCACACCATAACTGTATAGACGATACAGACGATACAGTCTACAGACATACCGTATCAACCTGTGCTACGGGATCCACCATCCGATGCTTTTCCACATTCCGACCGACAATGTTCTGATCCCTCCTGACTCACCGTCACCAATGCCCGCATAGTCGGATTGACCGTCCAAACGTTGCGACTTGGGAGTCCAGCCGGAGATGCCACCCTCATCTTCCCTTCCACCTTCCGCCTCCGCCATATCGCATACATCTCCCAGCCCACCATCCACGTCAAGGTCCTCAACAGGAACCGATTCGATCCCTCCCAGCTCTACCCCTCGTCCGCAATCAACTCCCACAGAATCCAAATCCGCCTCGCCCTCGAGTAGACAGTCGCAAACACCATCGCCACCACGACCTCCAGTATCGCCTTTGACTCCCACCGCGAAGTTGGCGTCTTTGGCGCCCTTAATCACTAACCCCAATCCGACCACACTGAGCACTGAGCGTGCATCAGACACGGAAAGCTCATTGCTAGGGCGGTGCTCTCGACCAACACCTCCGGACGTGGAATGGATAACACAACCAACCCCTATGGCCGTTGACGAATCCGAGAATCCCGATGCCATCGCCGTCAAGGCCGCAATATCGGTCTTGCAGATCCAACGGGCAAAGGCGCAAAAGGATATCCAATCCCTAGCTCGTATCCGCGACCGCGCAGTCGATGATCCCGTGGAGTTTGCGCAAGCTATGCAGCAACGAGCACGAAGTGGCCGTGGTGAAGAGTCTCTTCTGGATCCGACACTGGACGATTGGAAGGACGAAGAAAGTACTACAGGTGACGATGTTGCGATGACAGGCGCGGAAGAATATGGAGAGAGTCCAGTCGACAGCAACCTCCCAGCACGACCAGGTTCAGATGCCACCTTTTCGGAGCTTCCTCGACCGCAAAATGTGGTTCGATGTCCAGCCATCAACTGGGGCAAATATGGCATTGTCGGTACCACCTTCGACAAGATGCATGCGGAGCAACTCGCTCGGCCGACTCTCAACGAACCGATTATGCTTACACCTTTTGATCCGTCATCACCGAATGTATCAACGTCCCACGCCAGTCAGTCCGGCGCCAGTCATCGATCATCATTAGCAACACCAGGGGCAGTTGGTCCTTTTCACCCTGATGAGGGTAATAGTCCGCTTCCATCATCAGGTCACGATTTCTCCAAAGGAACGCACCCGCTATTGAAGCAGCAGTTCGACTATTTCGGGCGAGCCCCAGCCCATGTGCTTGCCGGCCCGGTCGACCCTATGGAGACAGCCGAGCAAGAGCGCGTGGGTATGAAGGTCGGGGGTTGGGGGAATCTGCCGCCCAGTGCCTTGCACGGCGCGCACCCCAACGGACGATCCGTGGGGAAAGACGGGCGAAAACCTGCCAAGAAAGGCAATTAGAACATCACGGCACGGGACTATCTACATTTACGAGGCGTACGATTGACTTTTCAAGTCAGGGCTGATGTGTATGATTCATACGAATGATGAAATCGACCGGAGTAACACAGAGGGCTGCATTATTGGAGTTGAATAGATTGGTCGGCTCTCTTCGGAGCTAGCTTGTACTATGCATTGGAAGTGAGATTATTAGTTGGTTCAACGGAACCTGATATGGCCGTCAATAGAGCTATGTTCCACGAAATCATCCAGGGCTTGTCCATCAGTCACTCAATCTTTATCCTTCCTTGACCACTTGCGTCCTCCTTCGTCTTCCAACAATGCATCCTCCACACCAGATGATAGCCGATAGAAACATGAGTCCAGTTGCCGCCCATGAAATCCCCAAGAATTTGGCACCCTGCTTTGCTTCGATCCCGATATTCTCTCCGTACTTGTTGATGACATTCGTGCCTTTGACGATCAGTGTAGTCGTAATCGCGGAAGCGATGCCGTAGGCTAGGAAAGCCAGCATTGCAATGACAAGGTTAACGAGCGCAGCCACTCGGCCCCGCCCTACACCTCGACCAGAACTGATAATAAACCAGAGGGGAAAGATCATTGCGAAGAATGAGAGGGCGATTCCGATACAGAATAAAATGAATGCAGCTTGAAACAACCCTGCCAACGCATCCAGTCCATTTTGAAGCTCATCGGGAAATCGGAGGTCGTCCAAACTGATGTCGATACCGCTCTTGTTAAGGGTCTCCTCGAGAATATCGGCGAGGTCGAAGCTGAACGATGCTGTACGGTTGGAGCACTCGGTAACGTTTTTATCAAAATCCGATTCCAACAAGGTGGCATTCGGCACGCTGTTCGGGCCATACGACCCTGTGCAATAATCCATCATGTGGACCGAATAGAAATCATTGATGCCAAGCTCCTCAGTGAGGTCGGTTATACCAGCATCAATCTTATCATCAATCCATCCGGTGACACGGTCGGTCACATTACTCAGAAGGCCGCTTAGTAGACCATCTGAGCCCTCGTTGCTCGGCGTGGGGTTTAGATCAATCAGATTCTGCAGCATCTGGGACGTGTTCACCTGCAAGCATATTAGAAAAGTGGTATGTCAAGGCTACGGTGTTAACTTACATTGATGAGATCATAGTCCTCCATGACATCTGGCTGGCTTCCTGCAAAGATGCAGAGGAACCCTAGGACGCATGCTACGATAGACGCAAGTATGGGAAATAGTCCAAGCCACCTCATCCTGGCTAAATACGACAACAGAATCCCAGATCACAGAGAAAGCAACGGAAATGTAAAAATAGAAAGTGATATGATCGTATAGTCTAGAGATCCAAATAAGAGAAGAGCTTGGAGACAGCGAGACTCAAAGAAGGCGAACGCTGCAACGGCAGGATGAGCATTCCAAGGCAAACAATCAAAGGGACGAATAGCAGCAGAGAGTAGTAGGTACGGACTTCAGCCGACACAAAGGATTAGGGGAGCTGATTGGAGTTTCTTGACTCAACGATACGTATGGTAGAACAGTTAGTGATGCAGTTAGCCTCCTCTATCACTTGAAATTGGGGAGTTGGTTGGCGATATATAGGCCATGGCAAGCATTCTGCTACGACCCATTTCAACCACGTCCAGGAAAGGTAGCGAGTGGCTGCGGCAGGGATAGGCCATGGCTACGCAATCATCACGGTTTTGTGTCGGCTTTGCAGTAGATGAGGTTATGGTATTCGTTGGCCGAAGCAATCGACGAGGTTGGGCAAGCAACAGAATCCTGATGGAATAGGAATCCAGTTGGGAGTTGGGAGTCAAGCGCTGGATGTGGAATTCTATGAAACGTCATAGGCTTGGCAAAGCCTTTCATTCGGTGGCTACCTGCACGTGACAAGGACTGACAACAGTGGCTTCAGGGGAAGAGCGCTGGTTGGTCGCTTCCAACATCGATCCTCAACCAACGATCAACGACAAACATCTCGGGCGGCTCCATTTCCTTGAAAGAATTTTGAAAGTTGAATCATGCACCGGGGAAAAACCAAGGTTTGCATCCAGTTCCCAGCGTGATTTGAAACCCTTCTCCAACACTATTGGATTGAACAGGAAGCCAGCCAGCGATCGACGGACATGCCACGCGTCTTGCACCACCCTGGATTTTCCCTTTATCACAGGCTGACAGTCTAATATTGATGCATACACCGTCAGTATATAGCTAAGTACCTAGGTATATGTCTTTTGCCTGAAGAATGTGATCACGCAGACTGGAACCGTGTAGCTGATGTATTGTGTATCGTGGGGGCATATGCTGATCCAGTATTGCGAAGGGGGATTCCGCAATTTGGAACCATCTTCCAAGGTTGACGTGCCCCATGGTTCCATTCCACTCAACCATAAACATCCTGCCTAACCGGATATCTTCGTACGATCATACGCTTGCCCGTGCCTTGACCGTTGTTCCCATGATTCAGTCGCTCCATTTAGTTTCTAATGTCCTCCACCCTCGGCATCACCACGTGGCAAAAAATACTCCAGCCGAAGAAGCTTCTATGCCAACGTCGTTCGTAGACGTATTCATCATTCACTGCTGACATCTTCCAATATATATGGTATCCGGGTTTCAAGGAATGTCCGGTGCCATCCCTCTGTCACATGCACTGCATACGACAACCCCATCTGGCCCAGATTCTTTGCAGCAAGATGAACATACGGACATGTCACATCCTGCCTCACATCCCCTCATGCAAATCTGGCAGGCCCGCTGTAGGCAGAGATCGCAATCGCGAAAGTTATTCAACTGGGACCGTAGCGTTGGTTTATGTAGGCAGATGTGGCAGGCGGACGGGGACGGCTGACGAGAAAACTCTTTGGCAGGCGCTTGAGGGAAGTGTAGTAACATGGACCGCGGAGATGGTATATGTCGTCGCAACTTCATTGGCCGGAGATATGCATCTTTTCGGGTGTATGGTTCAGAGGTGTTCATGGTTGTCGGGAAACTGAGGAACGGTTTCGATGCGGATGATGAGGTACAGGGCGGGGATTGTACGGCACCATCTGAGCCCTCGTATGGAGACATGGTTCGAAAGGAGCTGGAAACTAGTCAGTCCCCTTAACTCAACAAGCAATTTTTGGGACGTCGACAAACATTGGGAGAAATGGACTCTCTTCTGCATGGATTGGGCTCCGTTTCCGCTTCCCAAGACTTCCGACTTTCAGGGAGTCATCTCGAATGGAAACCAGATATCCAAGTCGTTTCACTTCGTGAGGGGAACAGAGCGGTGAATAAGACTTGACAGGCACTTGCTGGTGCCTGAGGCTCGGGGAGACCATTGGGGTTTGCCCACTCGTGAAGGCTTAGAGAAAGGGATAACACATCTGAGAAATGGGTTGGGGAGGAAGCTCGAGGGTTTATATCGACAGGGTCTTGAGAACAAAGAGCTTCAAATCACTGTGGAAATAACACAGGAAATCGATAGTCCAACATAAGGGAAGGAAATCTGACTATACATTGGTACAACCCAATATTAAGCTATTCGGGAACTTTCTATACCTCTGGAGTACTTATTACTGTCATTCTGTAACACGTGAAGTCCCCTTAGGGATTTGAGGGAAGGTCTGTGCGGAGGGGAGCCGCTACATGATGCGTGCCTGGGTTGGTGGGTCCTGGGAAGTGGGAATTCACGATACACATTTCACACGCCCTTCTACAAACTCCATGTAAATCCTGAGTATTCATAGAGGAGTCTATGTTACGAAGATCCTATTCACCGATGTTCCACGCGTCCTAGCCGTACTCTCCATGGATCCATGAAGCATCAACTGTTATAAAGCCTAAATCCTGGTATCATCGCCTAGCAACATCAAGATGGCTTGAGCTGATAGCCATCCACAGCCACAGCAGGACGGTTTCGTCATCTTGTGACATCGAGTTCCATTCGTCGGAATCTTCGGAACTCGGTTTAAGCATTCTGGACTGTCCTTTGGAGTCTTCCGACAAATTTCCCTACCTGTAGTTGTTATGACCAAGAACTTCCCACGGGTTGTCGAGATGGTAAAACCAGCCAAACTCGTGGAAAGGAGAACCCATTTCATTCCAGGTACCCTACTACTCAATTCATATGATTGCCTGCACCCGACTTAGAAGCCATAGGGAAGCTCAGAGTGACGGAACACTTCTTTGAAGTGCCTCGAGATCACGCCTCCCCTGAACGCGGTACGCTTCGACTTTTCGCTAGAAGCGTACGTAAGGCAACGCGTCCAATCGATCCATCGGATGAGAAACATGAACGACTTCCCTGGATGCTTTATCTTCAAGGAGGCCCAGGATTCGGTTGTGCAGCGCCTCAGTTGACACCATGGACAGAAACTGTGCTTGATAAAGGCTATGAGTTGCTTCATCTTGATGCCAGAGGAGTCGGATTGAGTTCTCCATTATCCGCTTCAGTTCTTGGCCTACGTGGAGATGAAGAAGTCCAAACTAATTATCTCAAGAGCTTTGGCGCAGTTGATATTGTTCGAGATTGCGAAGCAATTAGACTGGCGCTTATGGATGGATATCCCCCCGACAATCAGAAATGGAGTCTGATGGGCCAAAGTTTCGGTGGTTTCTGTACCGTCACATATCTCTCCATGTTTCCAAGTTCGTTAAGGGAATGTTTCCTCCTTGGAGGGCTGCCACCCATTGGGAAACACCCCGATGTCGTCTATGAGCGGCTTTATAACCGAGTTCTTACGCGGAATGAAAAATACTATGCGAAATACCCGGAAGACGTGGACCGCGTCAAGCAGGTCACCTCTCATCTGGTCCGATTTGGAAACAATACTGTCCGACTGCCATCAGGGGGCTCACTAACTGCAAGAAGATTTCTGCAGCTGGGGATCAACTTCGGTGGCACAGGTATGTCCACTCCCACGTTGCTCTACCATTCTGACATTCTTGAACACAGGAGGATTTGACGTCGTCCATGGTAGTTCCCACTTCACTCAATCGTTGGATGGGCCGCTAATGGAGTTACAGATCTCGTACTACGGGCAACTGGTGACTTGTCGAACTTTGGGCATCTCACCCGGCCGACCTTGTCAAGTATCGAATCTCAACAAGCGTGGGATGACAACATCATCTACGCCATCTTACACGAATCAATCTATTGTGAAGGGTATGCTCGTGTCAATGTTTTTTTGTTTCGCTTTACTTATACCCAATGTGTCTAGAGTCGCATCCAACTGGTCTGCTCAACGCATTCGGGACAGACGGGCTGAATTCAACCTTGACAAAGATGGCCCTTTATACTTCACAGGGGAGATGGTGAGTCTCAGATATCATCTGAAGTTTAGGCTCGTCTTAACCCGGATTCAGATTTATCCTTGGATGCTTGAAGATTATGCGGAACTCCGAAAGTTGTCCGGCCCAGCAAATGCGTTGGCTAAATTCCCGGGGTGGGGGACTCTATACTCTCCTGATCAGCTTGCAAAGAACGAGGTACCAGTGTATGCAGCGGTATACATGGACGACATGTATGTCGATTTCGACCTTGCTCGCGAAACGTCCTCTATGATACGGGGTTGCAAGGTCTTCATCACGAACACCATGTATCACGACGCATTGAGATCGAAGACTGCTGATGTTCTGAAGGCCCTCTTTGCCCTTCGGGAAGATGAAATGGATTGACATGTGTAATTAAACACTCTCCATGCCGGCTCGGTACGAGCATAATAAAGTACGACGCATCACCGATGCAATAGATTTGCCCAAGCTGCTTGACCGTGCCTCTTTTCTTTAATGGTTGCTCCCTACTTGGTCGTTGATAACCCCTTTTCGTCATGACCTTCTTATTCATTTCTACCTTTATTTGTGTGAGCCAGGTGCACTCTACTTTATGATGCGTTATTATTGGATGGTTTCTATTGCTCATCTATAAATCTTGTCTCCTAACCTCGGGTACCTAATCTATCTAACTATAATATTGAGCACTTCAACCTCTCTCCGCACCTCTACACACAGCATCTTTCCTTGACGATTCCAAAGATTCCTTACTGTGGCTTCGGTTTTATCAGAAGAGTACACTAGAGCCGGTGGATGTCAGTATTTCTTCTTGTTAGGGTCTCACATAATTATTTGTTCTCAACATTATGAAGGATTTCAATTTTGCGAATCAACTGTTCAATACCCTAACTAGGGATTTGCAAAAATCGACCGACCATTAGGAAGAACCGTGGAATATAGATCCATGCTCATAATTTCATTTCACTTCCTCTTGGCACAGTTTATAATAATTGACAATACTAACTATGCCTTGTTAATTCTATCTATTGAGTCCATGTCGCCTCTCGCTTCCATTATCGGCTAGGCAGGCTAAAGCTCATTTTAGATACTAGAAACAATTCTTCATGCTGTCAGGTGGCAGTCGTGTAATACAATGCTATACCTATTCCGGAATGGGCACACCCCTAAGTATAGTTGTGGTTAATCGGGCAGCTATTCCTATTCGATGGAAGGAATATTCTACAGAAGGTGCCTTCATTTCTCTTCCACGATCTACCCAGTGTGCGCCCCAAGCGGTAGTTTCTCGAGGCCCAATCAGCGATATAAGGCGCGATACACGTGCCATAGGCACTTCTCACGACTCCAGGGCTCGACTACTCTGATATGCTACTAAGTATGCTACTCAAGCGAATTACCCTCCTAGCATCCGTGGCCTCATCTTCACCCGTCCAATTAGGGACGCCTTTCGATCGTCGACAAGTGTTACCTACAGTAGAACTCCCTTACGGTACTTGGAGGGCCAGTCGGTATGACAGTGCGAACGATGTAACTGATATAAGGATTTCGTAGTGAAGGCCGCAAAGAAGCTGACCAACCCAGATTTACACCTTCAAGAACATCCGATTCGCAGCGACTCCGACAGGCGACCTTCGATTTACAGCTCCTGCTCCCCCACAACCGAATTCTACGATTCAAGATGGAAGCTACGGATTCAGTTGCATCTCCAGCAGTACTCGACGACTCGGTGGCAGCACCAATGGACCGTCTAGGTTAGGGGGCCTTACAGGCGTACCCCGAGTTGTACCTCAGGGAGAAGATTGTTTGTTCTTAGATGTTTATGCGCCTTCAAGAGCCCTGAATGGCACTGAAAAGTTTTCAGTTGTCTTTTGGATTTACGGGGGAGCATACGTCGGAGGCTCTAAAGATGGAATATACGATGGAACACCACTGATTAAATCTGCTGGGGGGAATCTGGTCTTCGTTGCCGCGAACTATCGTCTGGCTGCTTACGGATTTCTCGGCGGGTCAACGATGGAACGGGACGGAACTCCCAATGCAGGGTAAGCATATCGTTCTTCTACGATCTCTGGTTCTGACACTGCACGAAAGGTTTTATGATCAGCAATTTGCGCTACAATGGGTTCAAGATCATATAAGCAAGTTCGGAGGGGATCCAAACAACGTCAGTGTCTGGGGAGAATCTGCTGGTGGTGGCTCAATCATGCACCAGTTAACTGCCAATGGTGGGAATGGGAAAGCCCTATTCAAGCGGGCGGTCATCCAAAGTCCCGCATTTCAGACGCTCCATGACAGACAAGGGCAGATTGAGACGACATACAAAGCATTTGAAGAGGCTGCAGGCTGCGCTGGCCGGGGGCTAACGTGTCTGCGAAATGCGAATACTTCGACCATCAATTCAGCACAGTCGATAGTGATGCAAAATGCAGTTGAAGGGACGTTTGGTTTTGGGTACGTGTATCGCCTATGTCCGTTTCAGTGAACTGATCCTTTTTATAGCCCTGTGGCAGATGGAAAGTTCGTCCGTCAACTACCAGCTCTCGAACTCGCCTCTGGCAATTTTTTCAAAGATATGGAGTCTTTGATAGTCTCTCACGTCTTTGATGAAGCATCCATGTTTGTACCGGCTGGTATCAGCCAGGATAGGGACATCGATACCTTCCTCACTTCAGTATTCCCCGGGCTGGATATTATTCGTGATGTAGTACTTCGACGATACCCCCCTTCTGGTAGCGCGGGAGTTGGCTATCCTGATGCAAGGGGACGCATCCAAGCACTCATCCGAGATAGTACGTTTGTGTGCAATGTTCGTTTTATCAGCGCTGCCTATGCCTGTCAGAACTGCACTACTCCGTCTTCATCCGTCTACAACGTTCAATACTCCCGTTCTCCGGGGACCCACGGTTCGGATGTCCTGGCAACATTTTTCAACCCGTCCGGCGAGCTCTCGCGCTTGTCAACTTTGGACCCTTCACTGGCATCGTTTGCTGCATCTTATCAGAGTTACCTCACATCCCATGCAATGACTGGTGACCCCAATACCTATCGCCTTCCCAACTCCACCGCCAGTTGGCCGGAGGTCACGGTTGAACCTACATTGAGGAATGTCCTCGACGCCGGAAATCCTGGATTTAGTCTGATTTCCGATAACCAGACCACGGCCGACGTTTGTGACTTTTGGCTCGATATCCAAGCCGCCATGACGAGTTTAGGAGGATACGCACCCCCAGACAGTGTGGTCGAGAACCCTTTTACGAACATTATCAGTGTAGCTGATGCATCCGCGAACTTTGTGATTGTATGAGCGAAGTGGTTTCGACCGCGAGGGTCACGGCGGCAATCAAAGGTGAAGTTGAATACGCTCGACTTCTCTTGACGTAGGGAGTAGACTTAGGTTAATTGTCTGATGGGAAAATCTCGGTGGTAGCCTGAAAAAGCCGGTCCTAAAATCCATCTATGGCCAACTGATTCTTGCATCATTGGATTTCAACTCTACAGAAGGAACATTCCTGGTAATTATAAGTGAGACTTTCGTTCCGCAGTTGAAATGCGAAGTACGGAGGAAACCAGGTGCAAACATGGTCACGTGCGGGATAATAGTTTAGTTTACCTCAGCAAGCTCAGGCCATTGTGGTCGTGCCTGAGGCAACGAACCGCGCTATACCTAATTGGTATGGTCCTCGACCAAATAGCCTGAGGATTCTGTCATTGATTTTTGGCCTGAATCGAGATCGTTTGTATGAGAGCAATTTAATCACATCAACCTCGTTTTCCTCCACAACGAGCTATCGCACAGTAAAATTGACTCGTTCAATCGAATCCTCTATCGTTTCTTGATAACCCAGTGAATTTTGGAAGATGTCAGATCGAACCTCCTCTCGGCGCAGCGTACGACTGAACCCAACGCCTCTAGAGAGCAGAGAACAGCCACGAACTACTGCTTCGACTGCCGATGTCCATCGTAGACGCGCCAGATCTCGAGTATGGACGTCAGAAAAGCGAGTGAACGACATATGCAAATACATGTCCCAAACACACCACTTGACGCTTGCCAAGTTCATCCGAGTGTATGTAACAACTCAAGGTGGTGACGGCTACGGAGATCGACCTGCGACGCGTGCCAAACGCCTTGTAGACGCGATATACACTCAACCAGAGGTGCTAGACGCAATACGACAACATCCTGCGTCTGGTGTGGGAGGAATTGTCACCGTGAAGGCACTAAGAAAAGAAATGAAAGCGCTGGAAGAAGCCGGAGGTATGTTTAGTGCCTACCAGGTCCACCGCGAACGAGAAAAGTCTCTACAGGCCAGTATTGGGCGGGAGGGGCGGTCTGAAGATGGCCAGTCTGAAGATGGCCAGAAACCAGAGGACTACGAGTGCATACTCGACGACTTGCGGTTCGGCTGGATGTATGAGCAAGTTAACACTCATGCTCCTCTTCTATGTGGACTGCTCGACGGTCTTATGGCGCCCAAGATAGAGAGGAAAGATCGACCACCACGAGATCCTTCTAAATTTAACCACAGGACTGCGATAATCACGTCGATCCTCTGCTATTCTCGGGCGTCGGAAGGGAGCAACAAGTTTCCCCGCGTATTTGGTGCCTTTCTACACTCCAATGGCGTGAAACGTCGGGTCCTCGACCTTTTTCACCAATTTGGGGTTTGTGAAGGCTACAAGGCAGTCCACAGACATCTTGAAACCGTGGCAGAACAAGCGAAGGCATCGTCACCGTCCCTCGGAATGGATTTCAACTAACCGTACGTAGGGGACGGTCCGTCGATACGGCCAGCTGCTGAACGCCTGTGTTGTCTACGATAATTTCGACTATCGAGAAGGTGTTAAGCACCAGCTCATTTCAAACCATGCAGAAATGCGCTCGGTAACAACGGGGAAAGTTTTCAGAGGCGCCGACATTCCTCCAGGTGGATTAAGGAAATCGATGCTACACCGTGAGACTCCACTTTCAATAGAGGACCTTTTCTACTCTCCCGGCGCCGCCATATACGACGAGACTGCCTCCAAGATTGACAGCTACTTCATAGCGGAGGCGATTCGGACAGCATATCCAAAATCGGTCAAATCTATCTTCTCTAATTCCGACATCCCATTCCCGGCTATGCCAACCGTCGAGTTACTTGAGCTTCGAAAGACAGATAGCAAGACGCTCGGTCCGATTCTCTTCAACGAAGGTACTCTAGATGGCTCCTACGAGGTTATAGAGAGCATCTACAAGCGCCAATTCCAACTAGATAGTAAAGAATTCGACAACCGTCTGTTCTTGGCGTTTGGCGATCAAAAAACCTCTTCACTCATCCGATCTATGCAGGCTGAGCAAGTCGACGCGTCTATATCGTATGATAGAAAAGACTGGCTGATAGGAGTCGCTGCTCTCTTTCACCTGCGCATGAATTTTCTATGGCTCATGCAAAAGACACATTACGGAAACATGGAGCAACAGGACGCTTCAACTCTCTATCACAACATCAACTTCTGGGGACGAAAGAATATTCCAGCGGACCGTGCAGCTTTTCAGGTTCTAGAAGAGCTGGTGCTTCACAGTTTCGACGCTCGAGTTATTGGACTACTTTATACTCGCCTCGAGCAGTACGGCATCGATACCTCCGATCAAGAGGAGGTTGACAAGGCAATTCAGAACATGAATACTAGAGGCTTCATGGACCTAGTGGAGGATGTTCGCAGATCCGCATTTGGGCCGGAAGCCTGGCGACCATCAAAGGAGAAGCATGCCAACAATACAGTCGATGAGGAGTTCCTCAGTCATGCTCGATACCTTCAACAAATGGTTGTGTACAAGACCTTGAAGTACGGCATCAAAAACGGAGATATAGGACTCATCGACCGAGTCATTGGTGTCTGTTGCTTTTACTTCGAGGGGACTGGACAATCAAACTACGCATTCGAAATGCTCTATCTAAAACGGCTCACCAGCACCAAAGCTTGTGATAAGGAGCTTCGGCGCGCAATACTCTCGAATAGCCTCGTTAATCCACATGGCTGTCGGGACACTTGGCAAGAAGTCGATCGTAGCCTTGAATATCTGAACCTGGAGCTGAAAAGAGAGCTTTGGGCCCGTCGAACGTCGACTTTCGGATTAGATGCACTGTTTAAGACTACCTCGTTAACAGCAGAATACACTGTTTTCCTACGCAAGACGATAGAGAAAGCATTTGCGCGGAAGGAAAGCTCCAAGCATTCCGTGCCCTCTCCAGTGGATGATATTCATATACTGGCATTTGAATTGGCGTGCGATTCGATTAAATTTTACAGAGGCGGTAGGAAAGCCAGACATCAAGCGCCGGACATACATACGATCGGGCTCGAAAGGGTGGCGACAAAGAAGCTAGAAATATTTAACGCCAAGGTCATGAGAGACGAAGATCAAATAATAGTGCCACCTTACGAGACAGGAGGAGCGACGGCTGATCTGGATCCCGATAACGACATGATGGCGATACTAGTATGTTTTGTTCTAGTAGAGTATTCAGTCTTGTGCTAACCTACGTCACCAGCCCTTGGAAGATAGAGATGAAGCCCACGAATGGGGCTTACCTTCGGATATCGAGTCGGAGTAGTCCATCTATAATATCCGCTCTCCGTGGTAATAACGCCTATTCTTCTCTTTTTCACTGCGAGGACTTCGCCTTATATTAGAGTCTAAAACGCTGAGAGCGACCCGCTTTATCATTTCTCCTTCTCCTTCACTCGGTGCGGGACGTTTCGACGACTGATTGCCACCACTTACGCTGGACAAACCATTCTCACTGTCTTCGAAAACACTAGATATGCCAGAGGAGCAATCTACGTTTGTCGATGTAACCGACCTAATGGATGTTAATGACGAATCTGCTACCACTATCGGCACTGATTGGGTAGCTAGATAAGGAGAGCACGAGGCTGATATCTCTCTTGCGTTGGCAGTGATTCGTTCTAGCGAGGAAGCGTACTCTTCTCGGTCACGCAAAAATGATGCTCTTCGTCCTTGATCGGGAGTTATTAGAGTCTTTACTTCGGTCGATACTCTTCTTTCCTGAGGCTCTCCTTGTTGGGACATCTGCTTCGTGGCAGGGGGACCTTGTCTCTCGAGCAACGAACTTTGTCGAAACTGTTGCTCGGCAATAATCATAGGCTGTCTTTCTGACAACGCTCGGTCAGGTGAACATGGAGAGCATAATGCTGTATTCTCTCTCGCGCGAGCAATGAGTTTCTCCAATGAGGAAATATAATCATCGCTCTTACGCAAGAAGGACACAGGTTTCTCTGGCTGAGTGGGATGCTCAATCGCGACTGAAGATTGCCCCTTGTGAGTCTCTCTCCCTTCTGGACCCTTGTAGACTTCTTGATAATCAAGGGAAATCTGCACTGGGCCTGCAGCTCCTGACGTCCGTGACGTTTCTAGCCTGCTACCTCCAGGCCAGTTCCTCACGACGTAGGACTTGATATTATTAAACTCCTTAAAGAGTTCATCGGAATGGTCTTTCAACCAGGTCGATTTCACAAACTCCTCCAACTCAGCGGCTGTATGGATGTAGGCATATTCTGTCGATAATGATATCCACTCACTCTTCTGAGTAAATAGCTTCACGGAAAGTTCGGGCTTCGCCGTCTGATGCGCCGAGTTAACAACATTGTCTCCCCAGAGGGCTAGGCGGTCATAAAATGCACCTGGTGCTGTCCCAGCGTGGGGTTTCCGAAGACTGGGAGCAATGTCCCACGGGAAAGGCACCGTCCGCGTCAGGCCAGGGTTGCAGGCGTTACAACACTCCTCCGGTCTAGGAGGAGGCAACTTAGATGCGGGATCTGACAAACTCTCTTGCAGCCAATCCATCAGGATTCGGCGTAGGCAATTGGATCGATTGACAAAATTGTATAGTGCTGGGCAGTCATTGTACAGCTCTGTCCGGCGCTCTCTCTGTGTTTTGCGTTTGCGCTGGTCTTCTGGGACGCCATAGTCAATGGCGTCTACAGCAACATCCGCTTCGTGGTCTGGAACATCACTATCCGCTTCTGGCTCGACGGGGCATGACTGAGCTAGCTGGCTCGTATAAGAAAGCTGTCTTAAAGACGACTGCTTCCGGCTTCTGGAGAACGCCGCTCTTGTTGATGAAACCCTGTCGCCTACAGCCCAGCTTTCCACCAGGAAGACAGCCTCCCCCTTGATGCTGGCCATTCTAGCTGCACGACCAAACCGTTGGATGAGAACGCTTAAAAGCCGCTCCAAGGGGAATCCATATTGGACGACACGTATGACATCCGAGAGGTCCACTCCCGTTCCCAGTGACTCAGTTGCGACCATAATTCGAATCTTGGAATCCACTTTGGAGAACTCGCTGTACAGGGCCTCCTTATCATGCAGCGTGGTGTGTGAGTGGTAGACCTGGATAATCTCTCTGCTGTCGCGGTGTCTTATGGCCCCTGACGACAGTCTGCACAGCCAGTCTCGCAAACATTCTGCGCATTTTTGGATATCGCGTCGTGAATCTATGAAAATTATCGTTTTCGGAATTTTCATAGGCGTCGGTAGCCCATTCGTCATGGCGTCCTGTAGAACGAAGAAGAGACTAGTGAACCTTTTCGTGGTCCGCGGCTCGATAGTCTCCACGATCAGCTTAATCTCCGGCCTGTCGATAGAGGTTCGGAAAATCTCGCAGCTGGCTTGGAAGCCTGTCATTTTCCTCGCTATATCCAACGTCGCTTGGTCTAACGTGGCAGAACATCCAAACCAAGGGATATACGCTCCTAGTCTTCGACGTAGAAGAGAGAGTTGTGCATACTGTGGACGGATACCACTTCCCCACAGGGCCACTAAATGGAGTTCATCCACAGCCACGACTGAGACGCGCTTTTTAAAGGACGGGTTGCTTGCTATTGATCGAAACCAACCGGCTGCGATCTCTGGGCCCATGAGGAGATGAGTATATATACCCGTCT